CTATAGTGGTATTGCACAGAAGAAATTGTAAAATAGTTTTTACGACTCGTCGGTTGATGTATATAGCCGCACGCGCGCGCATTGGATTCTCATTTTCTACGTCCACAAACTGGACCTGACACTCCCGCGCGGTAATGATGCGTCGAGACTCATAAAACCATAAAATTACTGCGCTGCTCCAGCTCTAAAGGTATAAATAATAGGGTACAATAGAATTTCATATGTGCTATCAGATAAATTAAAATGTACATTCGAATGCAGAATGTGATTATGTGAGGTAACCAACTTGATGTTCTCCTTCGCGATAGGTCGCTACAATTTTTGTAAGCTGATTCGATGAAATTGATTTTTGAAACGTATGGTTAAAAACAGAATTGCTAACAATGGTGCACAACCAAAAACGGACCCTTTAGGAAAGCAGCTTTTAACGAGCTTTCAAAACTCCTCGAACCCAACGCTTCCAAAGAAGTTGCACGCTGTAAAAAAAGTTCAACGGAGTGCGGTATGCACGATACGGTAAAACTATAATACGCAATTGCCCACTGATGTGTTGAAATTTAGGCCTATTAAGTATATAAATTTCGCATCATCGAGGTAATTGCGAAGAGCATAAAGAGCCGGCAAACTGTATTGTATAGAAAGAAACGGCGCTCGTGGCTGCACGTCTCACACACATAGAGGCGCGCGTTAATATAACGAAGCGACGACAAAGGCGCGCATATAATCGTATTAATAAGGATACGTCGAATTATCGAGGGTAATATCGGTTTATAGACAGATGATAGAAATAAGCGGCGACTACATAGAATATATAGCTAAGGTATAGAAATTTTCGATTAGCTCAGAGTGAGAGAGAGAGAGAGACAAGCGACTGACGTAATTGCACCGGAGGATAATCGCGACGAGGCGTCGATGCAACACACGAGCTATATGCTGCTATATAAGAGTAAACGCGTCGACGATAAGCGACACGCACGTATACAATACAATGCCACGCACAAGTCGTTGTCGAATCGACTCGTGTGTATCGAATAGGCTCCGTCTGCGTCGTAAAAAGAGGCTAGATTCTCTCTCTCTGTCCCAGGACTAGCTCGAGAGACAATGGGCTTTTCCGCGCGCGCCGAATCTTTTCTCACAGTCATGCCGACTCGACACATTGGCAATTAGTTGCTTAACGCTCTCTCTCTCTCTCTCTGTATGGGCTCGGGTTCAAGTTTAAGATGCGCGTTCGGAATCAGGGGGCGGGGGAGTACACACATAGAGGAAAACGAGGCTCAATTAGGCAGCCACGGAATAAAATAAGTGCCTTGGCGCGCAATGGATGACAATAATTTCCCATGAGGCGGCGGCGCAGAATCGCTAGAGCTCGCGAACTCTGTACCTACGAGGAAAAAGGAAGAAAAAAAGGAGGAACGAACGAGAAGCGCATTTTTTCATCGCTTTAATTGGCTCGATTCCTCGTATTCTTGAAAATGTACGTGTGCACGAGCTCGAGATATTTCGAGGCATCTCTCATACATATTATACTTAAACTTTATGCGCGCGATTCTCTCGCTCGAGCAAACGAGTAAATTAACTTTTCGACGCGCCGACGTTCGCTGGCATATCGTGCACTTGCCGTTTCTCTCTCGCTGCGTGCCCTACTGCTGCTGCTGCCACTGCACACACGTGCTTTATTATATGTATATTCGCAGCTCTCTCATGTATATTTGCAATAAAGAAAGGTCGCCCGGGCTAAAGCACAGCTGAGAGAGAGACACGACACACGGGCGATACGAGCTCGACGAGCCTTCCGGCTAACAAAAATTTTCTCGAGCTTTCACTTTGCCGCGATTCGGCCGCGCAAATAAGTCCGTAATATAACTTCTCTCTCTCTCTCTCTCGAAGATGAATAATAACTCGCGTATCGGCGGCTCGATGTAATGTGCGCGTGCAAACGCGTGTTATGTGTATGTGTGTGTGAGTGACAGCGAAAGGGGCCGCCGCGGATCGTTCGCACGCTTTTTCCAGACTCTGTACAGCTTTATCGTCTCTCTGTGTTTTATTTTTACTTCTTTTCTCTCTCGCTCTTCATAAAACTTACGACGCGATTTACGAAACATGTGTGTGTGTGTGCGAGACGTATGGTTAAAGGCACGTCATAGATCACGAGGAAAGATATTTCATCTCCGAATTGAGAGAAGTACTAGAAAAGGAGCTTCAAATATATATAACGAAGAAGACGCGTGCACATCAGCGATTCGATTATAATATCAGAGAGCTCGCGACTCTAAGATATATCTGAATTAATTAATGTCGGTATAACATTTTCAATTGCCTCTCGGTCTCGGAGAACGGAATTTTCGAACTCTGAGGAAGTGTCATTGGTGGAACAGATGGATACCGTATTTGATTTGATTTATAGTTATTTGGCATTCGGCGCATCGTGTACGCAATCGTTTACTCAATTTATGAACAGAGAAAGTCTCTGTAAGAGCAGTGACTTGGCCCGACCTTTGTCTTTTCACTCGTTTTTGTATATAATAGTCTCAGTCGACATCTATTTAGATAGCCACATTTATTTTTAAATTTTCAAAGTGGACAAAGATACCGAGTCTATATTGCTAGAATAAACAAGAGGATGCCAAATAGCTGCTTTATCAAATAAAAAAGATGAACTTATCGATGCTCCTGGGTGCAAATATTTCGACTCGAAACGTCGCTCCTCGTTCCGGAATAAGGAAGCAATGGGCTGGTATCTATTTATTGGCGATGTTAACAATGACTCGATTATCTTCTCATCGTTGGAGTCGTGCGCGAGATACGCTCGAAAAAAGTATATATATAGATAAGAACTGGCAGTTAGTTAAACAATCGGCTATCGGAAATGATAAACTGGAATACATATGTAAGGCGGCGTAGGTGTTGAATTTTTCCAAGCTACGACGACGATTGCGCAAATGTGGCAATGCGTGTATTATAAGTTGAAAAAGCGACGCCGAGCAGATGCCGTCGACAAAATCGACCTTTGTATCATTGGGCCGAAAGGTTTCGAGCTACTAATACGTATCGCACTCGAGAGTGACTATAGGTACTTGATATAGCGAGTATTACGAGTTGACACTGTGCCTAATACGAGCCGCAGCTGACTATCGTTTCCCCGAGTTGTTTTTCCGGCTTTTTGCGCGAGGAAATACATTGGCTCGATGTGTAAGAGAGCTGGTAAGCAGCTTCGAGCGAGCCGAGTACTTATTGTAATCTCATAGGCTGACTAGTCAAATTATAGCTCTCGAATCAATAGTACGTATGACTCTTTTTATGAAAAGGCAATGCAGAAAAAGCTCGGAAAACAGTTGCGAGTCTGCTAATCATTGATAAGCGACGAGAAAGTGGAGCATTTTGTACACTAGGCGACAACATTATCTTTGGCGTTGAATGCAGGTCGAGTTTGTGAAAAGTGCGCAAAAATGCAGGTGCTGTACAAGGGGACCCACAGTCGGAGAGTAGTGCAAATATGTGCGCACTCGGCGTGGCAGCAACAGGAGCAGCAGCAGCACCGGTTGGCCCGAGCTTATCGGAAGGCGATCGGTGCGATCTCGATTCCACTCGACTACTATATATACATACATACATATAAATATGCTGCTCGCTGTGCCTGTGACTCGAGACTCGCACATATAAATATAGGATGTATATAAAGTACACATGTGTACACACGTGCAAAGCATAAATGTGTGTGAGAGAATTATATATACGAGAACCGGATCGGCAGCAAAGACTCTGAGCAGCAGCAGCAGCAGCACCTTTTGAAGCTATTCTCACTTGGCTGCTGCTTATATATATACCTACTCTCGAGGAGGAGGAAGAAAAAAAAGGCATATCGCTATAAGGCCGGTTAAGAGTCCTTCGGCGGCCGCAGCCAACGGGCGAGAGAGAAAGAGAGAATGCCAACAGCTGCTTATTGGCTGCAGCAATGCAATGCTATACAAGCTTACATTATACCTATATGTATATGTACGTGTCCGGACGTATGCACGCGCGCGACACACAGCTTGCGGATCTCCGTACGATGACTTTTGCAGCAACAGCATCTTCTTCCACGACGATAGGCTCGAGTTTTATGCAGCTCCTATACTAATGACGAAACTGATGCGAGAATTTGCTAGCCTACGCGTTATGATTTCAGTCTTATCTTATTCGATACGAGACTATAAAGCTCGAGGAATAGGAAGGAGGAGGACCCCCCAGGAGCCTCGATTGCAGCACGATGCAAAAAAGTGCAACCCCATTTGCACCAAATAGACACGCGGTATACTCTAATTTCGAACGAAAGCTTGATATATGCAGCATGAATGTTCAAATGCAAGTAATGATTCGAAAGCCTCGAATACTTATATCGCAATAATCGGACGCCGGTTTAGAGAGGCACTATAGGCCGACCGTCTATTAAAAACGAATAGCACCGAGAACAAGGGCGTATACGTAGAAGCCTGGAAGACGGCTAATTGTTTATTTGTGTGGCGCGCGACAACGCACATCGTCCTGCTACTTTACGTGCGTTATAATACATCGACGAAGCAACGAAGCGACCGAGTCGACGATAAGCTGCACACGGCACACGGAGCATCAGCATCGAGACGAGAGAAAGAGAGAGAGGAGTCGCTGCTGCTGCTGGCCTTGTGCAAAAAGGAGCGCGCCGAGTGCACGGAGCTAACTTCGTTATAAAGCCATACTTGTGCATTCGTTGCAGCGACGATTAGCAGCTGTCAAAATATTTCTCCGTCACTTTGTGCCGAGAGCTTATATAGCTTTGCTTCGATTCGGAATTGACATGTGATATACAAAAGACACGTTCTGCAAGACTGTCTGCAGCCTCTCTCTCTCTCTCTCTCTCTAGAGAAAGAATGAATCTATGCAATTGTAGGTGATGATTATTGCAGAAAAAAAATTACGCACCTACTAATTGTAAATCTTAAGGTATCTTAATATTACGAATAAAAGCAGCAACGACTGATACTCACAGTTCCGACAAAAAGCCCAAGACGTTGATGATAAAAAAAGCAGCACAATGTATATCGATAATATCACGAATCAGCTGTATCTATATGTACGTGCACTTGAGCAATGTGTGTGTGTGTGTGTCACCGCGAGCACACCAACCACTGTCGAATATTATACGAAAGAGAGATTATATGTTTACACGCACACTGTATAAAGCTAATTGCACTGTGTCTCTCGTTGATAAATGAGTCTACTGGCGGCTGCAGTTGTCGTATGTAGGCGTAGGCAGCACAGCAAGCTCTCAAAGAAAATCAGCGAATTTTGTAACAAGGACAACTGCTGCTGCTGCATGGGCACCTGTGTGCTGACTGCAGCTACTGCACGGAGAGCAGAGGCGCACTCGCCAAGTCGCGCAATACAACAACAACAAAACGACAAAAAAGCATCAGCCAACGCAGATTTAGCTGCTGCACACACGAGTGGCTCGCGCGAAGAGAGAAAGGCACGTCACTGCAGCCCGTGGCGATCCAATGTTTTTCCCTGTCTTGCAATGTTTATAAATGTGCAGTCCCGCGGCCGAGAAATGCATATGGACGCGGCGCTCTACTCGTGTATATGTACGACCGATATATAGCTACAAACGATTGTCGTCGTCTCGTGCTCTCGGACGAACGACCGAGCAAGTACTGCTGCCGCCTTGGAGGCTCGCGAGTCTCCGAGCGACTACTCCGCGAAACTCGCAGCAGCAGCAGCAGCCTGACATAATTCACGCACGAGCCAAAGCACTGCCTCCTGAGGTGCCGAGGAGACCGGAGCTACGCAGATGCGGACTAGAGTGGAAGACTCGCGGAGACTGGAGGTTGCTCGCTCGCGACCGAGCCGCTACCGCCACCACCAGCAGCCGCAGCACTGCCGCAGTCTGCTCGCTGCGCTACATGTCATACATCGACTTTCGTGCGATACATTTGCATCGATTGCTTATGCATCTTTATACCGAGGCTCCTGCGACTCTTAGGCAAAAATTAATAACGATAAAAGTTAATTAAAAGTAACAAAGTACATTACGTGCACAATCATTCTACTGTTGTTCTTTTTCTTTTTTGACGTTTACAGTTCTACACCTTCGATGTAGTCCTATGTGCGAAAGTATCGCAACACGTGGCGTCCTCTCTCTCATTTCCCATATGATTTTGACAATTGATACAATACACAACTGACAACGAATAACATCAGCGACTTAAATGGCTGTGTTTCTTTTCTGCATTCGTAATTCGTCTTTTTAATTATAATTTAATATAATTTTAAGGACAAGGCAGTTGGATATTAATAACAAAACAACTTATTTATCTCAAACTTTACAATGAAAGACACGGACAAAGATACACCAATTATATACGGGCTAGAATTTCAGGTGACGCTAAGCTTTTAGACTCATGTTTTAGCTTTTACTTTTCAATGAAAACAATAATAAAAATCAAATGATATTTTGTAAGACAGGCTCGAGCTTTGGCAGCTCAGACAGCTGAAACAGACTCTGTGCGTTTTTTGGTTGGAACTCAGTCTCTCAAATTCAGTAACAACCAAGTCCATTTGGTAGAACTGAGCGAAGGAACAGGAAATTTAAAAACTCAAGTATTCCAGCATCCTATCGGAGAGATATGGTCGATCCAAGCATCACCCACTCAAGTTGATAAATTTATAACTTGCTATAATTCATTAATAGGTACAGAGATTAAAATTAAATAGTATGCTTCGTTCAAAAAAATTTTATTATAATTAAACCTTTTCCAAAGATAATACATGTCAAATGAAAGGAGCTCTTTGGAGTATACCCAAGGACAATGATACAAATGATATAGTTCCACTGGAAAAATTGGCAGATATTGATACTACGCCTTATGGAAATGAACTCAAAACTATAACTTATCACCCAACTGACAGTACAAAAGCTGTTTCAGTTGTAGACAATAATTTTGTTTTATGGGATTTAAATTTCAAACCTCAAGTATGGAGTAACTTGGCTTTGTTAATCAAAAATAAACTTATATTATTTAATTATTTAATGTTTATATTAAAATGCTAGGTGGTAACAGTTGGAACTTTAACAAGCAGAGGACAGCCAAAATTTACAAATGGCAAATGGAATCCTCACCATCTTATGGATCAATTCGTCACTTTAAATGAAAATTCTATTAAAGGCTGGGATTTTAGAGATCCAAAAGAATTTACTTGGACAATTGCATCAGCGCATTCTCAAATAATTAGGTAGTTTCAAGTAACATCTATAAAAAAATTTGTTTTCAATGAACAAGATAAAGTATATTTATTACAATCAAGAAATTTCTAATTTTAAATTTTAGAGATCTAGATTTTAATACACTTAGACAGTATTATTTGGCAACATGTGGAGATGATGGATTCATGAAATTTTGGGATATTCGTAATACTAATGAACCTGTTTTGTCACGAATGGAACACTCTCATTGGGTGTGGTCAATTAGGATTAATAAATTTCATGATCAATTAGTTTTGACATCCAGCAGTGACTCAAGAGTAATTTTAAGTAATGTTGCTTCAATTTCTTCAGAACCCTTTGGCCAAATAGTATCTGAAGAAGATGCCACAATGGAAGAAACTTGTTCAAAAGAAAAGTAAGTTGAAGTAAAAAAATTTTCATTACCATTTAAAATTTAAACAAGAATATAAATTCAAAATATGACCAATTTTATGTTTGGTAGGTTGGAAGATGGAGTGCTAGCAAAATATGAAGAGCATGAAGATAGTGTTTATGCTGTTGAATGGTCTGCAGCAGATCCATGGACTTTTGCATCTTTGAGTTATGATGGTCGATTAGTTATTAATAGAGTACCTCAGAAGTATAAATACCAAATTTTATTATGATTATAAACATTACAACCTATTTACAGAAATCAATTGTTGCAATAAAGCTATTGCTGATTTTTAACATGTTTTTTTAATAAAAAATAAGCAATTATTCAGCTAAAATTACACAACATAATTGATAATTTATGAATAGTTCTAGAGTTTAGAATTTTTCTACCATTCTACTACTAATATTTCTGAGCTGTCCATAAACTTTAGCTGGAGGAGTTCCTAAAATTAAATTACAAATTGACCTCCTAGCTATTGCAATATTTTGGAAAGATCCTAAAATATGAATTTTAGAATCTGCCAAAACGATTCTTGTTTTTGTGGTGTTTTCAATGGTGAACTTTGTTCGTCCCATTTTTCCAGCTAATCTACCAATAGCTCTAGATAAATGATCGCCTTTCAACAAAGGTTTGACATCATTAATATCAAATGTTTCAATGAATAAATCATCCAAACGTAATAAAGCTAGTGCATCCGCAACTTCAAAACCATACATAAATGCTTTCACAAAATCAGCTGCTTTTTGAAGATTGGCAATATCTGGAGTATCTTCATTCAGCTTAATCTCCACGTTTCTTGTTTTCAGATTACATCTAACGTTTACCTTGAGATGTGTGACGATTGGGGTAAAAATGTTCAACCAATTTTCTTTCAAAGGAGTATATCGATGAGCAGGGATAGCAACCTATGTGAGAAATGGATAATCATTAAATGCAATGAATTAATATATAAATGATTTGCACAGATGTCAAAAGAATGAAAAATTTCTACTTACTTTTCTGATCTCTGCATCATTTACCCTCTTCCTTTTGGAGGGTCGTTGTTTTGATTTTGATTTGCCTTCAATTTCATTTACAACCTCCACCTATTAAAGTGTGATAATATTAGTTACTGGGCACAGTCATTTTATGATGTTATAGGAAGTGACTTATACGATTTCAGGAAAAAAAAAGAAACCAATAATTGAAAAAGCTGACGAAATTTTACCTCCATCTCAGTTTCAGGGCACGGACGTTTTTTTGCAGACATCTTTCTAGGTTTATTTATGAATTTAACTTAAAACATTTAGCTTGCTGCTATTAAGCACGTGTAGCCTTTGCTCCTTATGTGCGTGCACGGACTTGCACGGACCGGCGTGTATATTCAAGACGGCACATGCTGGACTTGTATGCCCTCTAACGAGAACCTCCGCAACTCTGAAGTCAATGCCGCGAGGAGATGTTAATTTATTCAGATACAATTAGTAACGAGATTACTTTTAAAATTGTACAATCTATTTTTATTTGTGATATAATTACAAATTTTCGCAGTTTTTTATTGGGTTTTGCATTGATGAGAATAATTTCAAATATTTTTTTATTCATGAATTTTCCTCAGTAAAAGAAATTTTTTTTTGTTACATTTCATCAAAAAAATATTAGAAGATTAAATGAATAATGTTTTCGATATTTTTTTAAAACGATCGATTAGAAAGTTATTTTAGAAGCTCAGAAATATATTTTCTATTCAGTGTCCGAAAAGAACATTCCCATGTGAGCACATTGTTAATTTGCTGATATAAGTTAGTGATTATATCCTAAAGCAAGATAAAATTCGAAACATGAATCGTTCAATGATGGATTCGATCTATTCTACAATTAACTTTTGCCGATCGAGTAATAAGCGGCTCAATGTATATAGCATATTGTGAAATCGCTTGGATGATAAAAACCGCAGGAAAAAGTTAACTACAACAAAATCCATAAATTGACAAGTATATAATACGCATCTACGAGTCGAGCTATTTCCGCGGCTATATATACATTACGCTCTCATTGCTCCGTTCTGGCGCGGAGTAGAGGCGCAAAATTGTGATCAACCAAGTATAAGCCGTCAATCTAGCGGTATTCGCGAATCGTAGAGTATACGCCTATATACGTATATAGTCTAGTACGCCTATGTGTGTGCGAGCAAAGTGCGAACTGGTCTGGTCGAGCCGAGTATAGCCGAGAGAGCCGCCAGTGAATTGTGATTCATGGAGTTGAGGGGCCGCGCTCAGTGTACATAGCATAACCGAACTCCTAAGACGCGTCGCTTTAGTCGAACTTATATATCTACAAAATATACATATATATATACAACACACATTACATGTACATGCGTATTACACTACACATCAAAAATTATGCTTTAGCACAGTGTGCTCCCGTGGAAGATAAGTGAAATTGCATTGAGCCGAACCCAAGTATAATTTTCTCTCGCGAGTATAAGGCTAGAGACAGTGTAATATACAAAATATCGAGCGTCAACACAGTAGTTGAGCAAACACTGCGTAAGAGCGAGAGAGAGAGAGAGAGAGATAGAAAGAGAGGAGCCTATATAGATACAAGTATTATTCTGTGCGAGTGAGACGAGTAGCTACTTCGCAGGCAAAATGGCAGCAAGCGACTCGACCGCTGACGACAGTCTTTATCCCATTGCTGTGCTCATTGATGAGTTGAAAAACGAAGATGTTCAGGTACGCTAATAAAACGAATTCCTTTGACCTGAATCAACTCGATGCACATTGATCCACGAGAATTAGCCTGTATTTCGAGCGAGCATATCGCTGAGGATGCCGCCTTTGCCGCCGGTTTACTGGCAGTTTCTCCCTCATATACGTGTCCCTTCTACGCATATCTCTCAGCCGAGGATAATATTTGCTTTCCAAGCGCTTGACGTAATGTCACTGCAATTGTTTTTATGTCCTAAATCCTGTTGCAACTGTTGATCATTGATCTAAGTGCCTACTACCAACAAATACGCACGCATACACTCGCGTGCTGCTGTCGTCTTAATGATTCGCTTTTCCAATTTAAAATAATTCTTCACCATAGTGGGTGGTGTCTTTTGGATCTCGTGCAACAAAAACACGTAAATGTACGTGTTTTTCGTTAACTGTTTAGTTATTTGAACAATTCAATTGTATTTTTTGAAAATTGAAGTACCTATCAATCATATTTTTGAAGTTTTATAAAAAAAACCAATACAGTTGAAATCTTATGAATCTCTTTTGCACAATAATTAAATTTTTTACATTTAAATACAAACTTACAATATATGATGCTAACAAAAGCAATGATAATTTTCAGCTTCGATTAAACTCAATCAAGAAGTTATCAACGATTGCTCTTGCACTCGGAGTTGAAAGAACTCGAACAGAACTCATACCATTTTTAACAGAAACTATATATGATGAAGATGAGGTTCTTCTGGCACTTGCTGAACAGTTGGGTACATTCACACCGCTTGTTGGAGGACCAGATTTTGTGCACTGTCTACTAGTAAGTGTCAAAAAAGTTTAGATCAAACTTTAACTGTTGCTTATATCTAAATTATTACATTTTTTAGCCTCCCTTGGAATCTTTGGCCACTGTAGAAGAAACTGTAGTGAGAGATAAAGCTGTAGAATCATTGAGAAATATTGCTAGCCAACACAGTCCAGTTGATTTAGAAGAACATTTTGTACCACTAGTGCAACGTTTAGCTTCTGGTGATTGGTTTACATCCAGAACTTCAGCTTGTGGGTTGTTCAGTGTCTGCTATAACCGCGTTAGCCAACCAATCAAAGGTAATTTAAATCAAAAATATTAGCTCATATTGTTTAGATATACTTGGACAACCTAAAGTAAAACATTTCTTTGCATTGAATTTTACAGCTGATTTGAGAAATCATTTCCGCAACTTATGTCAAGATGATACTCCTATGGTTCGTCGCTCCGCAGCTGCAAAATTGGGAGAATTTGCAAAAGTTGTTGAAAATGAATACTTAAAAGCTGATCTAATTGCTATGTTTGTCATTATTGCCCAAGATGAACAGGTAATTTTTTTTAAATTGTACTTTCTTACAATTTACTTTTCACTTTTTTCTAACTAACTAATGATACATTCTTTCAGGATTCAGTACGTTTACTGGCAGTTGATGCCTGTGTTAGCATTGCGACGTTACTTCAACAGGAAGATGTTGAGCAGCTGGTTATGCCAACGTTACGTCAGTGTGCAACAGATCAGTCATGGCGCGTGCGTTATATGGTTGCTGAAAAATTCACTGATCTTCAAAAAGCTGTTGGTCAAGAAATAACTCGTACCGATCTGGTACCTGCCTTCCAGGTAAATTTTTATTTAAAAAAATTTTATTTAATTATCTAATATACTCTAAAATAAAATGCTATTTTAACCAGGTCCTGTTGAAAGATACAGAGGCAGAAGTAAGAGCTGCTGCAGCAGATAAAATCCGCGAATTTTGTCAAAACATTGACCCTTACTATCAAGAGAGTATAATAATGACAAATATATTACCATACGTCAAAGAACTTGTTGCTGATCCAAATCAACATGTTAAATCAGCATTAGCCAGTGTCATCATGGGTCTCAGTCCTATACTTGGGAAAGTAAAGTAAGTTACTCATAAAAGTTTAATATACATTTTTGGCTTGAATTGTAATTGATCTGCTTATGTATGCATCAAAATCAAGCAGTTGGTTTGAATAGAATATTTCTAATTTTTTCATTAATTCTGTAACTTGGATTTGAATAGTCAAATAATGTTCAAAATATTGTGCACTCTTCAATTGTTCTAATTTATTGATCTAAAAGGAAGTTTTATTTAGACTTTCTTTTTTCTAACTCTATTCTCGAACTATATACTCGATTTATTTACTCGATTTAATTTGTATAGTTGATTATTGCACGTTTTTAATAGCAAAAAAATATAACTATATTTAGGCAGCAGGTTTCAAATTTGACTTTTAATGCAAAAAATCAAATAGGCAACTCGAAAAGCAATAAAGAATGTCCGATATTAGGAGATGGACAATCTTTTTCTTACTTATTAAAGTTTTATCTAAAATTGCATGTATTTTTCGATTGTGTATATGTTTCGTTGTTTCGTCAAGTCAAAAAACGTCGTCATAGTTGTCATCATCGCAAAAAAAACTCGTGTTTTGCAATCGTCGACAAGCGGAAGTTATAGTACTACCGATCGCGCTATATAGCACTAACAAATATTGGCGACGTCTATCAAAACGCTTTTGCGCGCCTGATCACAGTGCGAATTAAGCTGTTGTTCGATCGGGAGAAAAACGTATATAAAAAAAAAGGGAGCGTTTTTGTAATTTATCGCCGCGAGTAGTGTGCTTGCTTCGAGGCAAGACGGATTCCGGCGACGAGGATGACAATTACGCGTGTTGCGTTATCCGGCCCGAGAGAATACGGATAGGACGTAGTCGATTGGCTGGTCAAATGAAATTCGTGCGCACTTCGAGGTAGTTCCGAACGAATGTGCATACGTGTGCGTGTGTGAGTGAGTGCGTCTACGTTAATCAATGTGGATGTTCGATCGACGAATTGCATTTTAAGATTAGTTCACTTTTGTTTGCATCATGAGATCGGTCATGTTCGAATACTTGATGTGCGCTTGGCGTACGGGCGACGTTTTGTATGTCATAATATCATCTTGACCTTTGATACTTCCTTATATTGTTGTTATTATTGTTGACAAAAGTTATTTAAAAATATTTTATAGTTGCTTGTTTGAATTAAAATATTCTGATTTCTTTGACTGAATCATTTTTTCGGTGGATGTGTTACGCATTTCATATGATGACATTTTTACTTGAATTAAAATTTAATCAATGTTTTTTTATTTCAGCACCATCGAGCACTTATTACCTTTATTCTTATCTCAACTCAAAGACGAATGCCCCGAAGTTCGCTTGAACATAATAAGTAATTTAGATTGTGTGAACGAAGTTATTGGTATTCAACAGCTGTCACAATCGCTTTTACCGGCAATTGTTGAGCTGGCAGAAGATTCGAAGTGGAGAGTTCGATTGGCTATTATTGAGTGAGTTTATCTTAATATTTCAACGTAATTAAACGTTGATAAAAAATATGAGCAATTAAATGATGCACATTTTTTTATCACAACAGGTACATGCCGTTATTAGCTGGTCAGCTTGGAGTGGAATTCTTTGATGAAAAATTGAATTCATTGTGTATGACTTGGTTGGTCGATCATGTTTACGCCATCCGAGAGGCAGCCACGCTCAATCTTAAAAAGCTTGTTGAGAAATTTGGACCAGAATGGGCACAAAATACAGTGATTCCGAAAGTTTTAGCCATGTCTAGAGACCAGAACTATCTTCACAGAATGACCTGCCTCTTCTGTATAAATGTAAGTTCATTCTAGTTAGTTGCTATATAAAAATTTGTTCCGTAAAAAGCAATATTCATTCAATTGATATCTTTGAATTATTGAAAATTTTTGGAATTTTCAGGTATTAGCCGAAGTTTGTGGTCCAGAAATTACGACGGATGTCATGCTTCCCACAGTCTTGAGCATGGCCAATGACAATGTAGCGAATGTTAGGTTCAACGTCGCCAAAACTTTGCAACGGATTGGACCACATCTGAAACCAGCTGCAGTTCAAACACAGGTTAAACCTGTTCTTGATAAATTAAATACGGATACCGATGTTGACGTCAAATTCTTTGCATCTGAGGCGATTGCTGGCATTGCAGGTAAATGTCATTCAAACAATATATTTTTATTTTACAGTTAAAAAAAACTTTCTGTAACTATTGAATATACATGACGCTTTTTTGTAGCATAGGTTGAAGTAATTTTTCACCGAGTGCATTTACCACGTACCCTCAAGTAAACGACGACAGTTTACATGAACAAAATCAACACATGGTTTCCACAAAATAACAGTACTTTTGTCAAACTCTTCTTTATAAATGTGAATAACATTATTTCAAGATGAGAACCAATGACAAAAGAAAAAATATTGCATAAACTTTTTAGAGAATAAACATTACACAACTTTTCAGTTTTGTTGTATTTGTATATCTTAATATAATATTATTATAAGTATTGAATATTCGAATTTATTGGTAACATGTATCTCGTAAATATTCAAGTGATTCTCTTATTATTAAATAAAAAAATCTAAATCACAATTCAGAATTCGTTGTTTCATTTTCCATTTTTTTTTCATATTTAATCTAACATTTTTTTGATTGGATAAAATTATTTTTGTAAATTACTTTATGAGTCGATGTTCAAAGCTGCAGCATCACCCGCAAACTCTCATTCGGTCCCTTGATCAATATTTTTGCTATTTCACAGTTTCAACTTGTAAAAAAATGTTATCTATTATGTCAGTTGAACCTCTTGTTCATTCTTATGAACATATTTTAAAGGTATTCCGAATTTTTTTTACATGTTTTGCTTACTACTAAAATTTTTTTTATGCGTAAGCAAGCATGAAATAGAGTCATCCGAGTAGTATTTAGAAAAATACTTAATAAAAATTGCTGAAAAAGCGTTTGAAAATGTTTGTTTTTTTGTTTACTCATGCTCCAGTATTTTCTCACGTTCATGAATAACCAAACCGCAAAAGATTATAATGCATATTTAAATCGTCCGCCTTGTTTGCACGGCGCTGCCGGCTGCAAGCGACAATAACTTGGAAGGGGAATTGAATTGAAATGCGCACAAAGACAAACCGCCACGAGCACATAACCCGGTTCTTTTTTCGTTAGCGTCCGTCGTGAACGATAATCCACGTGCTTGTTCTCTTCTGAAGCTAAGGCCTAACCTCGGGCGACCTGCACGTTTAATTATTAAAAAATGTCGACCAAAGCCGAACTCGCTTGCGTTTACGCTTCCCTCATCCTCACCGACGACGATGTCGCCGTCACTGTAAGTACCGAAACATATTTTATTTTGCAAAAATTAATTTTTATTCGGCCATTGCGCGAACTGCAAATTTCACCCATAATTTGATTTCCAGGGTGAGAAGATCCAAACCATCCTCAAGGCTGCCGGCGTAGACATTGAGCCCTACTGGCCCGGTCTTTTCGCCAAGGCTGTAGAAGGTCTTAATGTCAAGGACCTGATCACCAACATTGGATCAGGAGTTGGAGCTGCCCCAGCTGGTGGTGCTGGTAAGTTTCTGTTCATATTCTTACTTTGACTTTGTTCCTCTGTTCATCCACCGACCTAGATTTCACCTTGCTAGAACGGTCAGCTTTTGAGGAAAAATTAACGATTGAAATGCCTGCAAGAATGAACTAGGTTCATTCGAGGCCTCTCATATCTACAATATTTCAATTTTGTTTGAGATTTTATTTACAATAGCTCAAGATATGTCTTTTATAATAACAAAATTTATTCAATTATAGCACCAGCAGCCGCTGCCGTCGCTGATGCTCCAGCAGCCAAAGAGGAGAAGAAGAAGGAAGAACCTGAAGAGGAATCCGATGACGACATGGGATTCGGTAAGATACTAAAAACTACTACTTTTATTTGGTTTATTATTAATTTCAATGAGCATACAATGATTATTCAAGCGTGTTAGACTTCTGAAAATGTCATGTAGTCAAATTTCCTAAATGAGTTTCTGCATATGATTATAATTTTTTTCAAACTATATGGCCTTACATTTACTAAATCATTACTTGTATTTGTGTTTCAGGTCTCTTTGACTAAACCATGGATCATGGAAATAATATTTGTACAGTTTTATTGTACAAAAATTAAATAAAACAAACTAAAAAATCATACACATTGTTTATTTATTCTTAATTTTATTAATTTTTGGGTACTTATTTTGATTTATTTTGAGTCATTGCAAAAATCTGGATTGTAAAAAAAATTAAGCATAAACTCCGTTCGAAGCTTTTTACTGTAAAAATCATTAAGAAAGTTATAAAGAAAATTCGTTGAGAACTGCAGACTTTCATTAGTTAAACAAATCGTATATATTATTACTTTACTTGACTAGAAAGCTAAAAGAAAAATAAGCAAGTCAAAGTTAAAAGTGAAAGAGAGGACTTTCACACGTTACCGGAGTTTCTGCAGTTAAAAAGTACATATAATTGCCTATCAATGCATCGCTTCATTTCATTTTGGTTCGTTGAGCGGAAGCCATTGAGCCGATGACGTTGCTCCGCTCAATAAATTCTGGAAGATTTGGGCGTTAGAATGACTGTCTGCGGACACATGGCAGCAGGCCATAATTTGAGAGGGAGTCCGGCAGATCGAGAACTCTATGGTGCTCGTGGCCAAGAGTCCAAGCGGCATGTCAAAATTCAAAGTTTCGCTCCAGACGGGCGAATTAACATGGTCGCAGCGACGTACACCAGTTTTTTTTCGTTTGAAGCTTTTGCCGTCCCGCAGGACGTTGACCTGAGTAAACAGAGAACACGGGGTTGTTAAAATTTCGTAATTTTGATAGATCTAGTCTAGTCGAGTCTGAAAAGCGACGGTCTTACCTGCACGTAAATTTCATAGGTCGGACCGTCCTTGGAAACATCAACGTCATCGTCATCGTCGGGGGTAAAAAATAAATCTCTAGCGCGAATTATCACGACAGTCAGTCTCTCGGCTTGGCTCTGATAGGTCATGGACACCATGAGCTCGCCGTAGGATTTGGCGTCCTCGAAGGGCAAGCAGCGCATAAAAAATTGGGTGACGCTCTGGGGTTGCTGCTCGTCGTCCACGAGTTCCGGCATGAGCTGCACCAGGGGCAGGTGCAGGTAGCCAAGCTTGTGCTGCTGCAGGTACTTTTGCTGCTTCGATACGTGATCGTAGAGCACGATTTCCAGCGTCAAATCGTCGATTCGACGGTTCGTGGGTACTTGGAAAACGAAGTAGTCGCTGCATTCTGTAAAACATCGTTTGCGTGATAATGATTAAACATATTACTTTGACCGATCGTGATTACACCCGTATTGATTTGAATTGGCGCGCTCTACAGCGTTAAACGTTCTACTTTGAATGCAATTAATCTTTTTATACCTATCGATTTTATGATCGTCAGAATAATTAAATGCGTAGGTGTCTTTACGAGATTTTAACAAAAGCCCCGAGGAAAATATCATTACAAATTAAGTGACCACTAGAAAGGGGGGTAAAAGGGTCGATCGGACTTGGAAATTGGCTCAATGAATCCATAACCACGCCCTTATATGCATGCGTGTTTCAGATTTCAGGTATTTTAGTATTTCAGTGGGGCAGTTGATATGCCTTACGTGATAATCATTGCATTGTTCCAGGGAGGGCTAGCCCAAGAAAACAAGATTCATGGCAATTATGGTGTGCCGTATTGGCATCGTCCATTGGTAGTCGTGGAGGCGTCTGCAATCGCGACTCGTGACGTGTTTCACGCGCGTCACCAAACGCTATTATATACATTCGCCTGACGCACGGCATCAGCTCTATCCTATTTTCCGTTCTGGTGCCTCGTAGAGACGACCGTTGTGGGATTTGCGAGGCGAATTTATTGAGCAGCAGCAGCTGCGCACAGCGAGTCGCGACTCCGTTCAGTGCAAAGCAAATAGTTGTAACATCATCGTGAATCTAGCCGCTAGAGAGCGAATAAGTGGTATCTCTACGTCATAGGAGGATTTACGATCCTCGCTGCGACTGCAGTTCGCTACTGCTCGAAGTGAGAAGTCACTATTCGAACTGTCTGTGCAGCAGTTCGGGTCGCTCTTCGCGTTCAGCAGTCCGTTCGTGCGATTTTCTCTCGTCCTCGGCCATATGCACCCTGTATACTGCATATGCTTGATCATGTATGTATGTATATAGATATGTATAACTATATACGTGATAAGCGTTGGCTAGTGACCGAACTGGCTATCTGCTGCTAGCCCCTAATTAGTGTCTTCGTCCGCGGGCAAGCCTGGGAGAAAGAGAAAACGACTTTTCGGACCTGTACGCAGTCTGATTTACGTTGCCAAGTTTACTCTGCCAAGTACGCCGACCATTACTAAAAACTTGCCCAGTAATCCACTGCGATTTGTTCACGATACGCGATCGTTCGACTGAAATGAAACATTCATCGTTCGACCAATCAATGATTGATATTGCCTTGTCTCGAGCGCGATAACGGTAGCAGTCGCCAGTAAAACGTTCAACGTCAACTTCCTGAAGTCTTTACGTCCAAACTGCCATTGGGAATCATGTCTATGCGACGAGATGGTCTCATGATTTCGGGCATGTCTGGAATTGTCAACAATGCCAACGATCAGATCCTCAGCGCGGCATCGTCGACTGCCCAAGCTTCGTCTCACTGCTACGCGCCCAACATTAACAATCAGAATTCGCTCGATAATTCTCATGTGAAAGTGCATATAAATAACAGACCAACTGTTCAACCCGATCGACCCATTGGATATGGTGCATTTGGAGTTGTATGGGCTGTTACGGATCCCAGAGATGGCAAGAAGGTGGCACTCAAAAAATTACCCAACATCTTTCAAAGTGTCATTAGTAGTAAACGAGTCTTTCGCGAGTTGAAGATGCTGTGCTTTTTCAAACACGAAAATGTTCTATCTGCACTTGAAATCTTGCAGCCACCGCTCTTGGATTTTTTTCAAGAATTATATGTCATAACGGAACTTCTTCAAAGTGATCTCCATAAAATAATAGTTAGTCCTCAACAATTAAGCTCTGATCATATAAAAGTATTTTTATATCAAATTCTTCGAGGACTCAAATACGTTCATTCTGCTAAAATTCTGCATCGAGACATAAAGCCAGGTAATCTTCTTGTAAATAGCAACTGTGTTTTAAAAATTTGTGATTTTGGTTTAGCTAGAGCAGAGGAAAATGATCCACGTGCAGTGATGACGCAGGAAGTTGTAACTCAGTACTACAGAGCACCTGAAATTCTCATGGGAGCTAAACACTATACAAATGCGATAGATATGTGGAGTGTAGGTTGTATATTTGCTGAACTTTTGAAAAGAAGAATTCTATTTCAAGCACAAAGTCCAGTGCATCAATTAGAAATGATCACTGATTTATTGGGAACTCCAACTTTATCCGATATGAAATATGCTTGTGAACCAGCTAAGTCTCATATGCTAAAGCGTGTACCTAAACCATCTCAAATCAATACTCTCTATAATTTAGGGGCACACGCCACTCATGAAGCGGTTCACTTGCTTTGTCAAATGTTAGTGTATGATCCCGATAGGAGAATGAAAGTAGAAGAAGCATTGAACCACCCATATTTAGACGAAGGAAGACTGAGATACCATTCATGTATGTGTTCATGTTGTTTTACAACAAGTGCTGGTGTAAGGCAATTCACTGAACATTTTGAGCCAATAAGTCCACTTATATTTGACAGTACATGGGAGAAACGACTAACAACTGTTCAACAAATAAAAGAAGAGATGCACAGTTTTATTTGTAAACAAAGTGACAATTCTCATGTGCCATTATGTATAAATCCACAATCTGCAGCCTTTAAGAGTTTCGCTAGATAGTATGTCTTTTGTATTTAAAAAATTGTGTATATAAGTTACATTAATGAATTGTTCCATGTACAGACTCTACCATATAATGAAATATAATGTGAAATTGTAATATATTTAATATCATAAATAATTTTTATGCAGTACTTATTAAATATATTTTAATTGTAACTTTTAATTCTTTGCATCAGGACATGTAATGAATATCAATTAACTGAATTATTTACTCTAACTTTTAATTTATATTTATGTAAATATATAATGTTAAACAAAATTCTATGTTAATTTGATATAGAATTCAATAAATGATTTGTATTGTGAATGTTAAAAATGAGAATAGTGGGTTAAATTAAATTTTTTCCTGACTCAAAAGAAAAGGACTTATCATTTGAACAATGAAAAATCATTGAACTTATTGAAAGAGAGTATTCATGACATGAAATAGCCAGCCAAATTTTTTAAAATAGTTCTTTTCGATTAATTATTTTGTTGTTTTGTCGAAAATTAATTTTTAATGATAAAAATATATTGTAAAAAATTCTCTCAAATTCGAAATACGTTGCCGAACTATATTATTTTGAAGGAGTATAATATAATAATTACCTGGTTTAAGGGTTTGCTTGATTATTTTCGTCTTTTTCACGCAAGTTCGGTCTGGAATGAGTCGTATTTTTACGTAAGGATTCGTCGTCTCTATCAAATCGTACACCTGAATAAAAGATACCAAATTAAATTTCAAATTAATCAAAATAAAACAGAATCGCACAAAATTCAAAGGATAACAGAAGATACCTTGAAAATCTTGATACGAAGCGCATCCTCGATTTTGTCGTACGCGACGCACATATCGATCTTGCCGCAAGTCTCCAGAGGCGATCTCGGACAGGAGAGGTCGTCGCTGCAGCAGCTCTCGCTCTCGGTGCTGCTGCTCCCGGCGCCCCTCGACGTGATGGTGGCGTCCGCGTCGTTGTCCTCGGAATCGGCGTAGCTGCTGGACCGACTGGACACGGACAAGCCCTTGACGAGCACCATCCGCTGGTCGCTCCCGACCAGCACGACGTCCCCGGTGGGCAGCGGCGCCGGGGCTATCAACGACGTCGAAGCCGACACTGCCGCGCGCTCCTCGTCGATGCTCTCCGATTGACGGTGGTTGACTAAAAAAAAGTACGATTATTAACAATTAATTATTTCGGATATTCGGATTACTTGTATAAAGCTTACTTTGATGCGTCTTCATGATTTTGTTAGCTAATATCCCTGCGACGCATTGATTATCTTTTTCGCAGCTTTTACCCATTTGGATTTGGATATTTGCATTCTTTTTCGATGATTTCTCTGCCTCCTCCGATTGGTCCAGCAAGTCTTTTTCAAACCTGCAATTATTTTTACCGTGAATTAAAGAGAGAAGATTTGGATTAAAAGGCCAAATTATCCATGACCTACCAATTAAGTACTCGTCGTTTGCGAGCGCAAATGGCGTAGACGATAATTGCCGAAACAGCCCCAGCTGTTGCTCCGATGCAGCCCAAGATGGCCATAATCTCCGGGGCCCGGAGATCGGGACCAAAGAAGTTGTAGGCACCCATGACTATAGTTACATATGTTTCTGATCTTTTGTTATATTGTTACGAGCCGAGGTTTTGGAGAGCTTGCAATATCTGCAATAATATTTTTAATTAATTATAATTCAGAGTTTTATATGAGTACTCGATAGAAAATCGTATACACCAAGGGCAATTGTATTTTTTATAAATAAACAGTCGTATAAAGTTCGTTGACTGATTGTGAAAGTTTTATTCGTGCAGTAGAAACCAAAAATTTGAGTCTTACGAAAATAAATAATTTACACAAAAAATGCTCTACCCTCGCATTGAGTTTTTTCCATTTATAACGATCACGAATTTATCATCATAGTATTACATTATGTTCAAGGGATACGTTATGGTGCAACGCGATGACGTAGCTCGCAACTTGTAGCGCCATTTTAACTATATACAAGCAGCAGCAGCAAAACGCATATAACACGAAGTGCAACAAGTTTCTTCGAGTCGATCGAAAGCTCGCGAACTTGAAAGTGTGCTTCGAGTTAATGCGACCGATTAAGCCACTATAAAGTTAATCATAGAAGCATATGCGCTTAAAATAATTTTCTCCCAATGCCTCAGGGAGCATGTAGAGTATTCGAGAATCATGTATATAAGGGTGATTGTCAATTAGGCGGCATATTCCGACTGATTTTTTGTACTTTTTTTTGGTACGCGAAAAAATGAAATATTTCAAGTAGTTCTATAATCAAAATAGTGCAATTATCGAGGCTAAATTTTAAGGAAGAATATTACATTTTGAATGAATAAAGTCTTCGTATGTTTGTTGTGAATGGATGGAAGGAAAAAATTAAGGGCTCAGCGCGATGGTAAGGATATCGATTGACATCCCGTTGTCATTCAATTTGGGAGAAAGGAGCTTTTTGATTAATTTTTCAAAAAAAAAGCTCTCATTCATAGTCTTCACTTGTAAAGTTTAAAATAATCAAATAATTTGACATATACATTTAGGGGATGCAATAAAGAAAAACAAAGTTGATTTGTTTTTCAATCAGTGCTTTATTTATGCTACTATGCTTGCTAAAATTTATGACCTTTTTTCAATAAAGTACTTTTAATAAAGACGGATAGCAAAGGTGCATTTTATTCTTATCTTAGGAGGCTTTCCGGCTTGTCCACGTCAACAGTTGCGTGCGCGGCACGCCGATATCGATTACTCGCGCGACTCGTGAATTGCGCGGATAAGTCAAAGATCCAAGCGTGGCGGAGATTCATTCATTCGCTCGTGCAGATCGAGGCAATTATTTGCAACGGCCCCCGCGCACACAGAAACATTTACACAGCGAAACACATTATTCGATCGTCTTACCTTTGCGTTGCACAGATGATTGATTATTAAAGCTCCAAGTTCGTAAAGAAGTGACAAATGCTTGAGGTCGATAGTATATAATCGTCTATGTACGTCCGCTAGCAGGTCCTGCGATGCGCCATAGACTGCGAGCTTGCGACGGACTTATCTTCGGCTCCCTATTCGCAGGCAAACTACGAGTCGCGTGGGCGACAAAACAAAAGGGCCATAGAGCGATCGAGCCAGGAGAGAAGCACTCGTCGGATCGAGCGGAAATATTTTTTTCATTTATATTTTAGCTTTCCCCCGCGGCGGGGCTTGCGACATGAGCTCGCTTGATAAATACGCGGAGTTACGAGTTAGTTGCGAGGGTGCGAAAAAAAAAGAAAAAGATAACGATCGACTCCTTGCCTAGAGCAGCTTTGCACACTGGTCGTCGCCAGGACTCCCCGACCGACAGCTATATTATATGCGAAGCGAGCGCGGCTCTAGGGCGCAGCCGTCGACCAAGTTACGTGCGTACTTGCAACTTATATATTATCTGCTTGGCCACGACCACCACTATATACATCGATTCTCTCGACGCGCGTACCTACACGATCGTGTGCGTATAGCTGCGAAAGCTCAAAGCTCTGTGTGCTACTGGAGCAGCTTCGTGCGCCGACGCTTCGCCAGAGTATACCGTGTGCTTTGGAATTCCTTTAAGCGAGAGTCAAGGTCAAACGCAGGCTTTTCTGCGTTGCTCTCCTCCTATCCTGATCCTGCGTTATTTTACATTCGCAGCTGCGCGTCGTCGATTCTTCGCACCTGTAGGATTATTTTCACGCTCGCTGTTTCACCGAGCTTTTCTCGGTGATTTTCCATCTATCCTCGTTTAATGATGGTACATTTTATTTCGATTAAGAATTGAAGAATTTAGAACAGAAAGTAAATTTGAAAAAAGGAGATGCTTATTTATTAATAGACTACACACAATCAACTCGTTAATATTTGTATTTTCGAAAACTGAAAGTACGTTAAAACATTTAATTGGAAATTATTCAACTTATTATTGCACTTGGTTAGAAACTGAATGAGATATTTTATCAAATAACCCAATAAATATTCCATTAGAGCAGAATGATAAATAATATTAATACAATTTCGATCATTTTTCGATTGTGCAGCTACAATTTTTTCCGGAATATATAATACTTACACCTCAAAATATCAAAACGTTTCTATGATTTCTGGAATGAATATATACTTTTTAAAATTATCCGTCTCCTATTATATCCTAATTACCCAGCTGGGTTTCATAGATGACTACTTCGGTTTGCATTTTCTAACATGCTCTAACATTTTTTAAATTTTTAATACAATTTTTCCTTACAATTTTTCGTATTCAGGTTTCGAAGGTTTTGAATCTCGCGCGCGGTGGCCATATTGAATTCTGTCACGATCGGGCACGTAACCAGTAATTATTTGACCACAGAGAGCTGCAGCATTTCTCCACAACGGCGTCGTCGGTCATCTAGTCTCAACTCCTATGTTGTTTGTTGTGCTGTGTGCAGTACGCGTCAGGTGTGAAATTGAGAAGCATCAGACTAACCTTTTAAACTGTGATTTTTCAAAAAGTACAGTGGAGAAAGAGAGTATAGTATAGAGAAATATAGTATTACCATAGACTCCAGTAAAAATGTCAGGCGCGCCAAAACTTTCTCAAGCCGAGTATCTAAAAAAGTATCTGTCAAAAAATGGAGATGATAAAAAAAAGAAAAGAAAAATTAAGGTTAAGAAAACGTAAGTTAATGTTTCTAATTTCATTTATTCAAAATTGCTTAAAATACCGACACTTTCGAATGATAAAATTATTTTACATATTTTCCATTGCAGAGTTAAAATTATTGATGATGATATTGATGATTTCAAACACTTGAAGAATATGGGTGAAGAAGAGATTATTTCTTCACTCATGTCACAGGAAGATGCTCCACAAATTGTAATGGTTGATGATCGTGGGCCGACAGATTTTAGCAACAAACAGAGATGGAAGCAAATCGCAGCAGACTCAATAGAAGAATCTGAAAGTCAAGTTCAAAAGAAAGAAATAGATATTGACAATCATAAAAAAAGGAGTAACAATTCTGACTCTGACATGAGCCCACCAAGATCTAATAGTAATAAGGATCATGAATACAGCAGGACTTCTCACAAAAGAGTATCAAAAGAGGAGAATCACAAAAGGAGTAGAAAAAATAATTCTGATTCGGATCTAAGCCCTCCAAGAGCTAAAGGCAAAAAGACTCATGAAGACAGCAGGACTTCTCACAAAAGAGTATCAAGAGAGGAGAATCACAAAAGGAGCAGAAAAAATAATTCTGATTCGGATCTAAGCCCTCCAAGGTCTAAAGGTAAAAAGTGTTACGAAGACAGTAGAACCTCTGATAAAAGATCAGCAAGAGACAAGAGAAAAAATAGTTCTGACTCAGATCTAAGCCCGCCTAGATTTAAATCAAAAGAATATCAAGAGAGGAGAAATAATTCTGACTCTGACTTGAGTCCACCAAGATCTAGTAGTAAAAAGAGTCATGAAGATGGCAAGGTATCGTTCAAAAGAAAATCAGGTAGAGAGAATTACAGTAAAAACAGAAATCATTCTGATTCTGATTTAAGCCCTCCAAGGTCTAAAGGCGTAAAGGCTTATGAAGACAGCAGAACTTCACACAAAAGAATATCAAGAGAAGAGAATTACAAAAGAAGTAGGAAAAATAACTCTGACTCAAATCTAAGCCCTCCAAGGTCTAGAGGCACAAAAAGTTACGAAGACAATAGGACCTGGGATAAAAGATCTGCAAGACACAAGAGAAGAAATAGTTCTGACTCAGATTTAAGCCCACCTAGATTTAAATCAAATAATAAATCTAAGTTGATTTCCTCAAGAGACGCTGAAAAGGAAAGGGAACCTAAAAAAATGAAAAAAACCTTAGATGGTACATCAGCTGGCCTTCAAAATATCAAATCTTTGAAAGAAGAAGAAGAAGCTAAGAAAAGACGTGAAAATGAAATGATGGAAAAAATGTCACGAGAAATGAGTGGCTATGGTCAATCTACTGTTGTTCGTGATAGAAAAACAGGTAGAAGAAGAAATTTGGAAAGAGAAGCTGAATATCATCATGAGAAGCAGCAAGAACAAGAGGAAATAAATGCTAAATATGCACAATGGGGTCGGGGGTTGAAACAATCTGATGATCACATGAGTAAACTTCAACAAGATCTGAAAGAGATGGACAAACCTCTTGCAAGGTATGCAGACGATGAAGATTTAGAAAAAGAATTAAAAAGTCGTGACAGAGATGATGATCCTATGTTGGCCTATATAAAGGAAAAAGAAATTAAAGAAGGCAAAAGAGCACCAGGTAAATATTTTGCTTATAAAATTAAATGTTATTTTAGTAACAAAATAGGTTGATTTGTTACAGTAGTCTCAATCATTTTTATTATAAATAAACTAAGGAAATTTTAGTTGAGATATTTAAATGAAGATTTCCAATCATTTGCTTAATTATTTAAACAAATTAATAACTGTACAAGCATTTTAGATCATTTATTAAATTAGATATTAAAAGTGAGTGTTTGTTATTTTTTCAGATAAACCAAGCTATTCTGGCTCATTCATGCCCAATAGGTTTGGTATTAAACCAGGTTTCAGATGGGATGGAGTGGACCGAAGTAATGGGTATGAAAAGAAGTGGTTTGAACAACAAAACAAAAAGAAAGCAGTTGAAGATGAAGCTTACAAGTGGAGTATTGCAGACATGTAAATTATCTCCAAATAATAAGCAGTGTAAATAATGTACATACAATTATTAAAATTATCTTTTTTAAAGAATAATAATTATTTGTTGTTATTCGATGAGTCAGTTTTGTCATTTCCAAAAAATAAATATAAAAATATTTGATTTTGCATGAATTAATAATGTAGCTCATTGATGTTACGTTAATTAAATTTCCTATTGTTATTTTTTATTTTTGAAATTTACTGTTATCAAAAACAACTAGTGCACTGTTACTTAAAGTTTTTTGAACGTATTTAATACATTATTTCTTTTATGATCATTTGATGAACAATCAGGTTGATATTCTTGTTAAAAAATTCTTTCATGACTTACTTTCATTTTTATGGACTCAAAGCAGTTTACTAAAAAAATATTCAACAGTAATCTCGAAAACGTGACTTACCTTAACTGTTATTACTTAAGTAAAAACCATTGCGTTTAATTACGAAAAGAATCAATATTTCCAATCATTCTCTACGTCATAGAAAGTGTCTTAGTTTACTTAGTGATGCAATGAAAGCCTGATCTTCAAGTAGTTTGATTTTTTGAGATTTTGATCGTTGAAAAAGAACCTTCCAAAGGCTGATTATGAGCTTGTGAAAATTGTATGATTTTATAATCATTTCATTATCAATTTATCTAGCAGTTCAACATTTACTTTTAAAAAGTACATAATTCAATGATCACAATTTTAGGGCAATAAGCATTAGAAAACTAGAAAAAATTTGGTTAAATCTTTTTTATTTTTATAAATATATAATATTTTACATTTTCTTTGTTTCTACAAGAATATAACTTGCTGCAAATGAAAATTGTTTTTTTAGTATTATTATATTTACTTAAGTATCATTTTTACTTGTATTTTCAAATAATGATTCTTAAATTATTTATGATAAAATAATCGCTTTATAGGCATCAATTGTTTATATTATTTAGGCACATATCACACATTATCTCTATACATACTCACACAAATTTGCATTATTATATGCATATAATGATTGTTTTAATTCAAAATAATGATAATGATTGCATGTTATGCCAAATTCACGCAAGGATGCTTATGAAAACATATGTATACTGTCAAAATAACATGTCATTTTATATTTTTTCGAATAATCTCTTAAAATAAGCTTTTTGATTGATTGAGATTTCAATATTTTTAAATTAATTTATTCTCATAATCATAATATATATCTGGTTATTCTCAAATAAAATTAACCAATTTACTTGGGGAAGTATAGTTTCAAGTTAGAGCTCTAACTTGACTATAAATTAAAATTTTATCCAGACAAAAATTAAAAAAAAAAAATTAAAATCAATTTTTCTGTCTCAACCTAAACTCATACTTTCAAGTTTAAGACATATTTGTATAAATTAAGAGGTAATTGAGCTAAAGAGCAGCAGTGATTTTAAACATAAATATAACAAAAAGATTTATTTAATGTAAACAATCACTTATGGTCTATTCAGTAGAAAATAAATTTTCTTATTTGTAGTTTTCTTATATATAATCTCATTAGAAATACAACTCTAATAGTATTGAGAAAGATGATGCCCTCACCAAGTGAATCAATCATAATGCTGGGCAAATTCACCTAACTTAACAAAAATAAGGACTTCCATCAATTTTTTTCAATTTACATGAAGTCTATTATACAGTAATAGTTATAACTCTGATTAGAGTTAAATATGTAACAAAAAAATTACTATTAAAATATCTTTTGTGCAAAGATACTTCCAACATAATTGGCATCAACGATACCAAATGCGTCAAATTGTCGACGCCTCCTGACTTTTACGTCGCACCTTCGTCGTTTTCATCGGCAGGAGAATTCTCGGAATAAGTTGGACTGGTAGGCGAGTAGCCTGGCACTTGTGGTGAGTACGCTGGCGATGTTGGAGAGTAACTCGGCGACGTTGGTGAATAATTGAAGCTCGGAGGAGAATACGTAGGAGAAGTTGGAGAGTATCTTGTGCTTGATGGTGAATAAGTAGGCGAGGTCGGTGAATAGTTTGGACTACTTGGAGAGTAATTTGTGCTAATAGCACTGTGTTGAGGCGAACTTGGTGAGTAACTGGGTGAAGTTGGTGAGTATGAGGGACTTGTTGGTGAATAAGTCGGTGAGGTTGGTGTGTAACGAGGAGGAGTTCCACCAGCAAACGATGGTGAAGTTGGCGAGTAGCTCGGCGACGTCGGTGAGTAATTTGGAGACGAGGGCGAGTACGATGGAGAAGCCGGTGTATAATTGGGTGACGTTGGTGAGTAGCTCGGGCTCGTCGGTGAGTAGCTCGGAGACGTAGGCGAGTAGCTCGGACTCGTTGGTGAATAGCTCGGACTCGTTGGTGAATAGCTGGGACTAGTTGGTGAATAGCTGGGACTCGTCGGCGAGTAGCTCGGACTGGTTGGTGAGTAGCTTGGTGACGTCGGCGAGTAAATCGGTGAAGTTGGCGAGTAGCTTGGACTCGTAGGTGAGTAACTCGGTGATGTAGGCGAGTAGCTCGGGCTAGTCGGTGAATAACTCGGTGACGTGGGCGAGTAGCTCGGACTCGTCGGCGAATAACTAGGCGATGTAGGCGAGTAGCTTGGACTAGTTGGCGAATAGCTGGGACTCGCTGGTGAATAACTTGGCGATGTAGGTGAATAGCTTGGACTAGTAGGCGAGTAGCTCGGTGAAGTTGGAGAATAGCTTGGACTCGTCGGCACGTATTTCGGGCTGGATGGTGAATAATTTGGAGACGCCGTCGAGTAATGATCGCTCGATGGAGTTCTACTAGGAGATGCAGGGTACGAGTACCCGGACGGACTCATTGGCGAATATCTTGGAGATGTTCCTGCTGGCGACATGTAAGGGCTCATATTTGGTCCTGGACTGCCCGGGCTTCCTGGCTGGCCAGGTGAGAAGGCAGAATAAGCCGGCGATAAGCCTGATGCATCTGATCCAGCTGCTGGTGAGAAGCAGGCACCTCCAGGAGTCATGCCACTGCCGAGGCCAGGAGACATGGCATAGCCAGGAGTTCCCATCCAAGGTGTCTTGAGACCCGATGGACTTTGACTCGGGGTTGCTGCTCCAAATAATATTCCAGTGCCACCCATGATGTTGGCTTCTTTGTTCGTTGGAATCTCAATACCTTGCTTACATTTTTCTGCGTCGAGTAGAAGATCAAAGCAACCAGTACCAATACGAGGCAGCTGACCCATAATGATGTTTTCTGAAACTCCTCTCATCGGATCTACTTCAGCATGTGAAGCTGCATCCATCAACACATCTACTGTTTCTTCGAATGAGCATCTCATCAGAGCTCCAGTATCTTGCCTGTTAATACCGTGACGTGTGATGGCCATAAGATGACCTTTGGCCGTCATGACATCACAAAGTAAAGCCAAGTGGCGATAGTTCACGTATAATCCATAGAACTGCAATACAGCGTTCATTTCTTTCTCTACGGATTTTCGTACGGCCTCGATACCCAGAACTTGGAATATCTCGCAGATGTCATTAGAGAATGTACGTACTGGATCAACGTCTCGTTCGCTCAGTACCTTCATTAAACTTGTACCGTCTGTTTCGAGTAGCCACTCTGCAATTGCTTTGAATTCGCCGCTTTCTGTGATTGTGATTCTTTTTTTAGCATCTGTCTGTGGCAAGTGCATGTACACTTTGCCGATTGCCTCGATACCCTGTAGCGTCATGTCACTGAGCATGTTTGCTTCGATACACCGCAAAAACATATCGTCCTCCATTTTATCAGCAGCTTCTTCAGTATCGGTGTTGTCAGAAAACTTGGTATCTTCACCATTCATTATACGGATGCGGAGTACAAGTTTTTCGGCGTTGTCGTCGTTGAATATGCACATCAAATCTTCACCAAAACCAGCATTAATTTTCTCGGCGATTTGTTCCATGGTCAACTTTTTATCTGTCATTCTCTTACGATCGAGTTCAATACGTAACAGCCACGGTGAAATTTTAGTTGGATCAAAGTCCGGCATTTCGTAGTAGACATTAACGAATTCTTGATCTTCTGCAATCACAGTGCTCTGTGGTTCCGGATCATAATAAATTGCTGTATTAGCGGTAACCTTCTTTAAAGTAGTATGCTCAAGCCTGCACAAGACATTCTTGGCTTTTTCGGCATCTCTAGCTGCTGATCCTGTGAGGAAAACGGTTAGAGATGGAGCCTTTGGTTTTTTACTAACGTTGATGATTTCTTTCAAACGTGGTACACCCAGGGTTACGTTTTTAGCCGATACACCGGCAAAATGGAACGTGTTCAACGTCATCTGAGTAGCTGGTTCACCAAGTGATTGCGCAGCCAAAGCCCCAACCATTTCACCTGGTACTACTTGTGCTTGCTGGAATCTAGTTTCAATTTCTCCTATTAACCACTCAAAAGCTTCACTTGATAATCTGAATTCTTCAGAAACTACTTTGGTGCACAAGGTCGAGCGAACCAAACATTGGAAAAGTAAAGTTGCATTTTCATTAGCCTGCTTGCTAAGACGATCTTCTCCAGCTACAATAACGCATTTATCCAGAAGTTCTTTAACTCCATTGATTACTTTTATCGGGCTCAAGTCAGTTGGAGCTCGTTTATTGATACGGAAGATTTTCTGCACGTTCCATATCATTCGCTGTAAATTACAAGGAAGTACAACCTTTGACTCCCCACTTGGGAAAATTTCTCTAAGAGCTGCTCTATCTCTGGAAAGTTGTTCCCATTCTCGCTCTAATTCTGAAACGACTTCTCCAGAACCCATCATTTCTCTAACAATATCCTCACTGAATATACGTCGCAGGTACCTTTCATTGCTAGGATCAAACTTGAATTTTTTCTCAAAAGCTTTATTACTTAGCTTTATAGTAGGTAAATTTTGAAATTCCACAGTTTCTCCGCACAGTCCATCCTCACCATATCGCAACTGAATGAGCTGACCGACCGAGTTTCTGACTGTACCGTCATAGTGAACCATCACAGACTCCATAGCCTTTATAAGACGACGCTGAATGTAACCGGTTTCAGCGGTTTTTACAGCAGTATCGATAAGACCTTCACGACCTCCCATAGCGTGGAAATAAAATTCTGATGGTGTAAGACCAGCAAGATATGAATTTTCTACAAATCCTTTAGATTCAGGACCGTAATCATCCTTGATGAAGTGAGGCAATGTGCGTTTGCGGAAACCAAATGGTATACGTTTACCTTCAACGTTCTGTTGTCCGACACAAGCAATAACTTGTGAAATATTAATATTTGATCCCTTAGAACCTGAAAATTTGAGTAAAATACGAATTTAGTAAATAAAAATTTTTACCAGCAATTCTGTTTCTTCTTTTCATTTCAAACTTACCTGCAACGACCATAGCTTTCAAGTTATTATATTCAGTCAAAGACTTTTTAGCGGATCCACCAGTTTTGTCACGAGCATCATTGAGAATTCTGTTTACTTGATTTTCAAAAGTCTGACGCAGAGTATTACCGGGTGTGGGCTCAAGTTCCATATTGTGAGCTTTCTGAATGACTTCTATGACATCCTCTTTAGCTTTCTTGATAGCATTTTGAATTTCTGAATAAGTTTTAGGATCAGCAATTGTGTCTCCAATACCAATTGAATGACCCTCGTATAACAACCACTGATTTATGACTGTCTGTATATTGCCATAAAATCTGCCACAAACCTCATGACCCAACTCAAGCATGCAAATATGCAACAAAGAACCTGCTGAGGCACCAAGAGATTTTTTACATAATATGCCCATGATAAGTTCTCCATGTTCAACCATAACTTTGGTATCTCCAGGTGAAATCCATTTGTAGGGACCATCATCTTCATCATCTGGATGTGTACTGTGTGTTCTAATCATGTTGACATTACCAGGAATAATTAATGAGAACAATTGCTTTCCAGACCAAAGAGGTTTTGGTTTTAAAATGCAAGGTTTAGGAATTTTACAATCCCAATTTGGCAAAAACATAAGCAAGTTCATCATTTGCTCTTTTTCAATAAAAACATCCCTCTTAGTCATTTTTCTGACAGCTGTTAATGTATCTTGCACAATTCCCATAACTGGTTTGTTTGCTTGTGGAGTTATAATTTGTCTGGGAGTCACATGAATATTTTCTACTTCAGCTCTGGTTTCCATTGATTGTGGTACATGCAAATTCATTTCATCTCCATCAAAATCTGCATTGTAAGGTGACGTACAACTTAAATTCATCCGGAATGTACTCCATGGCAAGACTTTGACTCTGTGACCCATCATACTCATTTTGTGAAGAGTAGGTTGCCGATTAAATATTACTAAATCACCATCTTTTATGTGCCTTTCTACTTTGTATCCATACTCTAAATGTAAATCTGATGGGTTGGGATGAAAGCGTAAATCAATACGATCTCCATTGTTTCTTATAATGTACTTGGCACCAGGATAACGATTATGTCCTCTTTGCACGAGAGATTTCATGTATGTCTCATTAAAAGGAGTGACAATTTCTGGGAAAGTCAAGTTTTGTGCGATACTTCGTGGTACACCAACTTGATCGATTCTCAAATTTGGATCAGGTGTGATAACTGTACGTGCAGAAAAATCTACACGTTTACCCATAAGGTTACCTCTAATGCGACCTTCTTTACCCTTCAATCTGGCCTTGATAGATTTTAGCGGTTTTCCAGATTTTTGCATAGCCCTAGGCATTCCTGGCATGTCATTATCAACAAGCGTAGCTACATGGAATTGAAGCATTTTTAAATTTTCTATCAGTATGTGTGCAGCAGCTCCACTTGTTTCATTTTTCGATAGCTCATTGTTTGCTTTAATTATATCAGCAAGTTTGTGGGTTAAATCATCTTGATTTTTAGCTGAACCGTACATAACAACAGCTGGTCGGACAGCAAGAGGTGGTACTGGTAACACTGTTATTATCATCCAATCTGGCCTGGCATACTTGGGATCCATACCCAAAATAAATGATTCTTCATCAGTAATAGCTTTGAGAATTTCCCAAGCTCTTTCTGGAGTCAACATCATTTTTTTCTCCTGTGAATCTTCATTAACTTCTTTCCATTCAGCAGAAATATCCAAACCAGATCTTCGAAGATTTGGTTGATATCGCCCACATCCACCATGACTTGGTTTTTTATTTGGATCGGGTGCTTGTCCTTCTTTAGACATATCCATTTCATCACCTCCTTCACAAATTTTTTTGCTCTTACACAAATCGTATACAAACGCTAAACGTTTTCGTGGCTGACCCTTGGATTTCATGATAATTTCTTTGATTTTAGGATTTTGCTAGAAAATAAAAAAGGAAGTAAATTCGATTTGATCAACCCTATTGTATACAACACTAAGTATTGCTATATTTAAATTTTTTAAAAGACACTTACCGGACTGACCAGCAGTTTGGAACAGTAAAAGCAAACACATCTTAAAATCTTCATGGTTTTTGTAATAAATCCAATATGATATACAGGTTTTGCTAAATCAATATGACCAAAGTGGCCAGGACATTCAGTCATGTTGCCGGCACAAGTCTGACAGCGAGAATTTCTGTCAACGACACCTTGTCGTGGGTCCATGAGACCTCTTTGTTTTGGTCTTCCACCCTCCATCGTTTCCGGAAAGGCAATGCCATTTTCGACAACAGACATGCGTCGCTGAAATATCACATTATATAATTTATTATTGCGTTACAAAAATAATTGCAGAAGAAAAAAACAGTATTTGGTGAGAATAATTGTTTTGGTGTAAGTAGTATGCAGTAGTTTCAATAAAAGTAATGTATTCACGGAGCGTCGGTCAACCTAACCTTAAATTATTAAGCATATCCTTTGCACACGAAAGAGAGCCGTTTTGGTTGAATTTGTGTAATTTAATGTTACATTAAAAAAATATCACAGTAAGTGTTATTTATTCGTCAATCTGATTTTACTTGGGAAAAAATCCACATCATAATAGATTAAGCCAAGAGTATTTGATTTTCATTGTGAATAACAACAAAGTACATTGTGCGTACATTGGTGTTCTAATGCCATCAAATAAATCATTGTTTTCAAATAAATATATGTAAAATAAAATGCATATAATGATAAACTAACGATTTCATCTGGAGAAAGAATGCCAAACTGGACTCGTTTGACCGTCCTCAACGGAGCTTTCGAATCTGATGTAGACATGGTTGTATAGAGATGCTACTTGCTACACGAACCCGACCATACTACACGCTGCACAGCAATGTCGGCTTTTTATACCGACGACGTGTCGCTTTATGCGTTCACAGCGAGGTTCACTGGCGAAGCTGCGCAACGACACTGTTATAGCCGTTCTTTCGAGTATCGGGGCTGAAAGCGCATGAAATTCGAGTGGAGGGGACGAAGCGGGCTCGAGAGTGGAGGGGCTGATGTCGCCAGTGGCAGTGGTTCGGTGTTCGCGGCGGTGGAATCGAAAACGGATTTTACAATGGCGAGGTCACTTATGCGTGTTTTGTGACGTGCACAGTTTAGAATTCGAAACTCTTTACGCAAGTTCGGAGCATTTTTCTATTCGTTGAATTACTTGATTTTCATCGGAGCAAATTTCAAAAGTTAAAATTATTGTAAAAATTCATAATGCCTTATTAATTTACCCACAGTTTAATAATTTAAAAAAAATGTAGCATTTCTTCGTGGTCCCTAAAAATTCATTATGACTGCATCGAGGCCATTGAGAATTCATGAGTACTGCAGCACGCAAAAATAGGTAGCTGTACAGTTACAATATAGATCTTCATTAATCAATGACGACTCCGCCAAGAATACTGTCAAACATAGCTTGCTGATAACTCATAAATTATTATACTTATCCTTCTGAACTGCAATGGATGGCTCATAAGGAAAGTCCCAACTCCGTTTGGGCATTCTTTATCATGATTTTTTCAAAGATGCATTTACTGTTGCATTTACTGATCTCTTTAATGATGCATAATTACTTTCAGAAAATCTGAAATACATGGTATTCTTGAATTTGCGTAAAAAATTGCGATTCTAATCTCATAAAGACCTACAAGTGAGAAAAAATTAAAGATTTTCATTGAACCTTCCACGTAAGTCTTAATGGCTATCGCTCAAAATTAGTTGGGAAATTGTGCAGTTTTCCAGACGAAAAAATTTGACTATGTGGTATCAAAAAATGTCGCCAAGGAAACATCTTTGACGAGAGACTATACGAGCAGTTGATACTGTTAAAAACTGGAATAGTCATAGGCCGCCGAACATTAATAGTTTGTCAAATAAAATGAAATTTCGTGATTGAATTGATTGAATTTTCTCTAAACATTACATTTTCTCTAAAATTACACAAGGAAATAAGCTCTAATTGCAAATTCTAATGCTTCATGTAGAGCCATAACGTTTTTCAGTAAACTTGTAAAAAATTATCTTATATTTAATTAAATATATAATACATTGTTACAATTCGTTTATCGGTACTGTAAAAGTTTGTAACCTGCATCTGAGGCTTCTTGCGAGTTGCAATGTCTTGCATCATACAGAACGTCAACGGCAGCACTCAATAAGAGCTTCAAATATACCTACAGTTTAAAGGGATAATTCAACGAAATTACGATAGGACATTGGAAAACATTCATTGGCCACTGAAGTTAGTTCAAAATCGTAAGTATTAATGTCATTTCTTTCCTTACATTATTTGTTAAAATCGCGTATTTACATGTTTTTTAAAAGTTTTTCATAACCTCTAACTACCCGGTTTTCAATACCTTTTATAATTGATATTATATGAGTATTAAATATATGATCATCATGATTATGTGTTAATAATGATAATTCATTTTTTTTTATTATATTCATATATGTTTTCATGTATAAATATAATTATGTATTAATTCTGCATTTATATTTGAAGTAGTAACTTGATCTTTGAAGTTTGTAAGCGTAACAATGTATTCATGTATTTTATTGATGTCTGCTATTAAATAAATTTTTTTTAACTATCGCCAAAGTCTACTTGAAATAAAGATTTCCAAGATATAATTGATTAGCTACAAACCATCCTAATGAGATTATTAAGTTTTGTATCATTTTTTATGACAGATTCATTCATCATGCCTGTTGTAAAAAAAGAAGGAAAAGATACAATTATTTTTGTATCCAAAGAAGATCATTCAACTCCTAGTTCGATAGTATTACCAGAACCTGAAGCAAAACCTGGTTTATTACTTCCAAATGGACAAATTAATTGGAGTTGTCCATGTCTTGGTGGGATGGCCACTGGACCATGTGGTTTAGAATTTCGTGAAGCATTCAGTTGTTTTCATTTTTCTAAAACAGATCCAAAGGGTTCAGACTGTTTTGATGCATTCAAAACAATGCAAGCTTGTATGTCAAATTATCCTTCTATTTATGCAAATAAAGATACAGATTCTGAAGATATGAATTCAGATGGAAAAACTATGCAAGAACTTTCTGATAATGCAAGTTCTGGTGAAGTGAAAAAACAAAACGATCAAAAAACTGATAGTTAATAAAGTATCTTAAATGTCAAGTGTTGAATTGTCAATAATTATATGTTTAAAAAGATTATAGTTCCATAATGTATTTTAGGTACAAAATGATCAATGTTTTGATATTACTTATCATGATTTTTTTCTTGACTTTGAAATATAATTAATGCCGTATAGTGTTCTTTGTGAGATCATAAAAACTAACAGTTTATATTAGACTGTTTTTAGTTTTAACCAAAAGTATAATGTAAAATTGATTATTTAGAGAATAAATATCTTTTATTTATTTCAAATGATACTTAAGAAGTTTTGGTTGACAAGATTTTTTGTTGCAATTCTTAATTACATTACTATGTTGTTTCATTAAGTTTGTACACTTTTATTGATATTAATAAAACCACTTTAAATTATTTATAGTATTTTATATTTTAAATGATGTTAAACGTACTACCTAATATTGTTGTATAGAAATGATTAGTTTAACTTGTTATTTATGAAATACTCAGATTTCAAAAAATTACCAACTACCTATGGATTATTAGGTAAAAAATAGTCACTTCAATAGAAAAAATAAAAAAAATAAACAGTTTACAACAAAAAATTCAATTGGTATAGTTATCATTTCAATGAAAAACTAAGATGTCAATATAGTTATAAACCAAGCCATAGAAATAGAAAATTCTAATCTTTAAATCTTGCAATGTTTATAATCTTGCAAGTATGTGTATAATAATTTGTTTTTACAAATATTTTAAATTATAAATAGAATGCTCAATAGTATTAAAGATCTTTTGATAAAAGGCGAAATCAATATTTTTATTTTCAAATCACAGGTAGCATTTTCACACTACTTCAAAAAAAATTATATTTATACATCTTGTGATAACTAGATGGTTGTAAATATAATCACAAAAGATAAATTTCTTATATATTTTTAGTCTTGATATTTTACATATCTAACATGAAATATATGATATTTAGTATATACAACCAATACATTAGTTTTCTTTTCTCACAATAAATATATTTATATCTGATAACTTACTATATTTAAAGATTAATAATCCAATAGCGCGTTTATTTTGTACAAAACATTAAATATAATTAAGACAGTTCAAAAATTGAAAAACATAATTGACTGACTTATCCCAAATCGCCTCATTGTTGAATACTTTTACTTTGGTGTTCTTCATTTAACGTTACTTTTTATGTTCAGGAATTCTTACAGAATTTCAATTTGAATACTGAACAGTATTCTAAATAATTTTCAAAAAATTAAAATTAAACAAAGTCAATTTAAAAAAAAAAATGAATAACTGTACTTATCAAATTTTTGAAAATTTAAACTACTTTATTTGAACTAGTATGATAAATTATTGCAAAGTGCACTTCTCTATCGATGAGCGTGTATAGCGCTCCATTTTTTTATACAGCATAAAACGTCTTTTCATGTATGAGAATAGATAATTAGCTCAAAGCTAAATGCCATCTAAAAGTTTCTCATGTAATTACAATAGAAAAATTACTTTGAAATCAATCTGTAGTTGTCAACAAACTCTGTGAGTCAATCATACTTTCATTCATAATGAAACTTGCATTCATAATAGGAGTACTGACATTATTTCCTGATGATTTATTACTAAATGGGTAAAAACTGTTGATATTCATTTGTAACAAACAAGTGGAAAGTTGATCAATATTTGAAGAAGTTACCGTTGCTTCATTGGCATCAATTTTTAATTGTGCTAAATCATTTTGCAACAGTCTTGCATACATTTCAATTTGGTTTTTTCCACCATTGTTTATAATCAAATGTGGAATCCATCTAAAGTAACATTGTGACCATATTTCTAGATTGGATATTCCGTGATTAGGTTTAATTTGATGTAATTTAGAGTCAGCCAGTGCAGGTGCATATAGAGGATTATAAAAAAGTTGGATATCATGGTCACTGAATTGTTCACGCCAATCCCATACACTGCGTAAAACAAGTTGATTTGTAGGATCCTAAAATAGTATAATTCATCAAGTTTTATGAATGCTCTCAAATTATTAAAATAATTTTTTTCTAGTTTTCAAACTTACAGAAGCTGCCTTAACGCGATCTCTTTCAGAATTAAATATGAAAGTTTCAAAAATTGACACATGTGTAGAGTCCCATAATGTTGTCAAATAAGTTTCAGTAAATTCAAAATAGGCAGGAAATTGTTGACATAACTGCCACACACAATCCAGGTATAGTAAAAATAAAGGTGCCTAAAATAATTTATAATTTACTTATTAGGATGATATTTGACGAAATTCGACTGTGTAACTTATAATTTTGTTTCAACCTTTTCTGATCCATCATTTTTTAAATGACCCAATCGATCACAAAATGGATGACCAGCTGCAACCCATTCTTTTTGGATTAATGACTGAAAACCTACTATTGTTCGAAAATGTGGATCAAGCAACAATTGTACCAAACTAGATATTATACAGCAAAAATCTCTTCCGGAACCTTCTGCAATTTTAAATGATATATAAATTAAAAAATTACCAAATACAGAAACTAGGAAATATTTATGATTTATACCTTGCAGTATAACTGGAACACCATCATTTAACTCTTCGCAAGCTTCCACAGATTTTCTCAAACAAAGAGAAACATGTTTTAACCATTTTGTATTTTCTAATAACGAGTAGAAGTTATTTTCTTGATGTATGAACTGCCTAATGCTGTCTAAATAAAATAAATTGAAAATTTTAATGAAAATTTAAAAATTATAATTATTTTTACTATTTACCTGGAGAACACAATTCAACCAATTTTGTAAAACTATATGATACACTTTTAATACTTATATCTTTGTTTAATTCAATAATTACAGGTTGAATTTTTTTTGGATGATTTTTGCGAATGTTTTCTAACATAATGTTTTCTTGAGTCCTATCTGGAATACTTATACTTAATTCTGCCATTTTTACTAATGCAGCACCCGAATCATTTGACCAGGACCATATCGGTGGTCGGCTGCCTTGAAAATGCCAAGCTGCCTTAGTTAACTGATCATCAGTAACTGATGCTGGTACAATAATATACTCTGATAAACTGAAATTTAAATTAAAAATATATCCACTTTTACATTTAGTGATTTATATTTAGTAATATATATCATAATTTTAATACCTAGTACAAAGTCTAAATTGTTCATTGGCTCTGGAAATCCGCCAGCTTTTCTGCAAAAGATTATTTTTTCTATATGTTCGATCTAATTCACTTTGCCAATCTGTTCTTTTTCGAAACAGTTGTATTTCTTTATCCAAACTGCTATAATAAGGTTCCCTAAAAATTAAAATTAAAATAATTTCAAATTTTACAACATTAAAGTGACAGGTTATAATTGATTTAAATTTTACTTTCTGAATTTCAATTGTACTTACGAGTACTCATAAGCAAATAATAAATAATGCTTTGTAGGAAATGCATGATGAAGTAATGCATTTAAAATATTTCTTCCATCTCCGATATCAGAAAATTTAAATGAAAATGACCATGTCCTCAAGTTCTATAAATTTTAATAAAATAATCATAGAAAGATTGAAAATTTAGATTTTATATTTATCTATAAGATATACTTACTTTGCATACTATAAAAATTCCTTTGACTTTAGATGGTACAGATACTCCTGTTGTTAGTTTTCTTTTTTTATCGCCAATCAAATAAATATTATCAACATTTGATAAACAAATATCTGTGTAACCTAATAAATGGTTTTGTTGGTGAATATCCTGAAATTAGAGGACAAATTATTAATCAGTTTGATTACATTCATTAATAATTTAAAAAAAAATACAAAATAACTCACATCAACATTCTCTTCTGCAGTAACAAATGTAAGTTTAAAATTAGTAATTGCTAACAGCCCTGAAATTCCTTGTTTTGATTCACTGACAGGTTCAAACATAAGAACATTTTTGGCTTTAGCAACAATGGCTTCACCCGAGAGTAATTTAATGCTACTTTCATCCGTTAAGTCTCTTCTATTAGAGTCAAAATCCTAAGTTCAACATAGTAAAAACAATTTTATGAGAAAAAAGAATTATTTTCATGTTCAATGATTAGTGTGAAGCTTCCTAGTACAATATATCCAACAGAAGAAGATGATCAATTTCTAAAAAGCAGCTTCATTGCACAGTTAATCTTATGTAAGAAAAATATGAAATCAATACTTTGACCCTCATGGACCCAACCCATGAAATTTTATCATTCAGGAAAATAAATAAATTCATAAACAATCGATTAATTATGATGGATTACCTGCATCTCATGTTCCTCGAAGCCTACATAGCTTATGAAATTGTTGCAGTTTTTGACATCCATAGTGGAAAACGCAAGGACTTTTCTGCATTCGGTATAAATTTTTTTTAAATGCGTAAAAAAACGAAAAATCCGTCCTGCCTGCTGAACAGGAGACTCGCGAAAAACGTCGAGAGTTGATATAGCCGCCAGACCGTAGCCGTTCCAAAAACTGGGATAATTCTCAATATTATTAAATACGTGTAGGTGGATAAGATATGATGAATATACGAAACGTCACTTTGGTAAACAGTTTGCGACCCCCTCTCAAATGGATACGCATCGACGATATTTCTTGTATTAATACGTTTTTGCTAAAACACAATTCATTTTTTAGATAGAATCATAGATGTCTTTGTTTAAATATGTTAAAATCTTACAGAAAACCAAATTTCTGCACTAGTCAAATAAATTACTCGATGAACAGCATTATACAATTTGATGGAACGAAAAGTCAACACTGATACTGCAATGTTTCTGTAGAATACAAGAATCTAACCTGTGAATTGCTTACTTGCTTACATGCTATATCTATACATAATTTATAATGAATGCTTGTACCTATATATACAATATTGAATACACAGTGCAGCGGGCTACGGGCGACCCATCAGCTACAAGCATTAGCAAGATAGCAACTAATAAGCTAACAGTTTTTAGCAAGATTTAAATGCAGGTCAATTTTATTGACACAAAGCCTCGGCACAATAAAATAATAAAACGTACACGAAATTGAGATATCGTTCAAATTCTGATTAGTGTACACAGGCAAGGTTTTGCAATAATAGTTTAATTAGGCGTTGAATTTTCTTAGCTAGTTATTTAACATAAACTTACGCGTAAAGGAAAACTTTTTTCTCTCAAATTGTTTGAGCAATACTAAACAGTTTAAGAAGCTGTTGAAGAAAGAAAATGATAAAAACGTCCAATTTATAAAGAATAATTTTAGATTACATATTAATTAAGTAGTTAAATGAATTGATTGCACTTTAATTTAGAAATTTTATAAAGAAGTTATAAATTTACACATTTTGATAAATTTTTATTCAAAAAGATATTAAAATTCAAAAAATACACAATTATTGATTTTTTTGATCATTTAAAATTCATTACAATATTATCAATAAATGTAGTGCAAAGTAATTTAAAAGTTCTCTTCTAATTTTAAAATATTTATCAGCAAAAACAATTCAATGAATTATCAAATTTTTTATAGTAATTTAGAATATCATTAGATTCAGAATGATTAATCAACAATGGATATGCAACTTGTATTAGTGGTCAAAAACTTACATTTTCTGTTAAAAATGTAAAATATGTGTATTAAAAATATTTAACTTTCATTTCATATTTGAATTCCATCTTTCGTCTTCTATTTTCAGTATTATAAGTGAAATTACGTAAAAAGCTATCAATCTTAGTTTCAGATTTATCGCTATTGAATAAGCAATTAGTCTGTATGGTTGTCGCAGTTCTGGCTTGAATAAATTGATGCTCTGGATAGTTGTTGAAATTACTGCCACTAGATATCTGTTGTTCAAATCCATTGTATTGAAACATGTTAGGCTGTCGTTTACTAGGGAATTCATTGCACGTTGTTGAATGCATCCTTTGATGATATTGTGAGTCATCGCAGCTACCAAGATGACTGTAAAATTGTTGAGGTGCCATGAAACCATCCATGGTCTCATTTTCTTCAATGATTTGATCATTGTCAAACATCATTTCATTGTTGAGTAAGCTTGATGGAGAATCGCTTAATTTCTCTTCATAACTACTGCATGAAATATACTCGGGTGGCGACGGTCTAAAACGAACAACTGTATTCGACTTTGTTCCAGTTGAATCGATGGGCGGCGAACTTTTTTCGGTAATCAAAGTACTGCTCTTGGTGTAGGTTCTACAAGGGGAAGCATTTTTGCCGAAAGGTGATCTGGTCTCGACGACCTCATTTTCATCCTTCATCGAGTAACAAGTTGCAGCGTCCGATCTATTTGAAAATTCCAAGTTATGGTAAAAAAAAGAAAGATGAACTTTGAATTTGACGTACTTGATACTTTTACAAGTTGGAGACGGCTCGGTTCTGTCTACCCAGCGTCCGACATGACCCGGCGTATAAAGTTTGCTCTTCATGTTTTCTTGTGTCAAAGGAACACTAATACCATACTTTTCCCAAATATTGGTGAGATTCAAATTCTTGGTTTTGGCGGTAGCTTTACCATTACAGCCCATTTCAGAGGGCAAGGAGCTGATATTTTCCTTCGAATCCAGAGCATTTTTCTCATTAGGGTTGAACGTGGAATTCCATATTTTATTTCTAGGTTGAGATTCGGTACCGTAGACCAACTCATTACGGAATCTGGATATAATGGCCATCGTTTGTTCCATTGGTTTGGTAAATTTTTTCAATTTCCGTCTACGCTTCGGTGCGGGACTAATTTGTTCTTCTTCCATAGCTCGTATAACTTGCCAAGCCTTAGGATTATTTTTTCTGGAATAATATGTATGAATAATTGTCATTGATCGTAAAATAAATGAGAAAGAATCAAGCTACTCTTTTAATTTGAAGTCTTTTTATTTATTGAACTGTAATCGTTTGTAAAAAGAAATATCGTTTAATTTTCCGATGAAATTTAAAAATTGGTATAAAATTCGCACTCTCGTTTAAAAATGAATTTGTTTTTATTTAATATAAAGATAATAAGAGTGGCAAAAGTGAAAATATTTATCTAAGTCAATCATTGATATTAATAGATTCAAATTCGTCACTCAAAGAGTACTTTAGATCTTCTCTTTGCGCAAATTCGTCTTCCATTCTCTTGACGAATTGCTCGAAGTAATCGTCGTCGTCTTCATTATCCGAAAGAAATAGGGACTTGTACTCGGCGTCGATTGGATCGTCTCTTTCCTCGTCGCAACTTTCTTGCCGATCGCACGTTCGTTTGAAATGTTCGCTGTATCGTTCCTTCATGCAAGGGTCGCACAATTTGCCCGTATCACGGCCCGATTGGTGTTTGCAGCCAGTCTCGTAGTTGGCGTTAATCAGGCGAATCGCCGCCGAAAGGATTCTTTTTTTGTCGATTTCCACTTTTTCTTCCAGGGTCAAATCCTTTTGCACCGGCGTTATTTTGGCAGTCGACTTGGACGTCGAAGGTTTATATTTTCTTTTCTTATTAGTTGACTGCATTATTGATACAGTTGAGATCTGAAATCGTTCAAAAAGCGATTATAAATGTAAAGAAAATAACTGCCGCGTTAATCGGTTATTAGGTAACATACGCGTTCAGATACAACTGATAATCGAAAGAGTCGCCAAAGCATTTGGAGCAGCTTCGTAAATTCGAATTTTTCGAAGGTGTGTAAACATTCGGTAGGGTCAGTTATGGCTTGTGTAAGACCGCAAGCATCCGTCCGTGCGTCAAACTGACGGGGAGTGGGAGACTGCCGACTGAGTCGAGCCGCCCGTACCGAAGCATAGGTAAGGTATAGTCAACCAACACCGCGCGTCTGCTTACTCATTAGTCGTAACTCGAGTCGTGGTCGCCTCGGGAGCTCTCGATGCTCTGTCTTGCCTCGGTATCAATTTTGCATTAATATATAACCGATGCATGTGTGAGACGCAAACCGCCGTCCTAGCGACGGGACAAAACGAGTTTTCATTGTTTTTTTAGGAATGAAGTATTATTAAAAATTGTTCGTTAATAAGTTTAGTGTACGATTCATTTTTAAGACTCGAGTGTAGCAAGAAGAGTGTGTGACGTCAGTGATTTGTTTATTTAAATCGAAAGTACATAATTATACGTGCCGTGCAATGCCGAAGTTAACAGATTTTTGCGTTAAATTCGACCGAGAAGGTTCAACGTTCCAGCCCGGAGAAACGGTCACTGGTAAAGTTATCGTCACATTGACCAAGCCCAAGAATATCAAAGGTGAGAGGAAACGAGCATTCGCATATCATTGTATCTCATTTTTTTCTTTGTATCTCTTTGTCAATCATCTCGTCGTGCGTCGGTGTGTAACGCGTATATTTATTATGGAATGTTTGTATGTAATACATTCATCGATGATCAACAAAATGGCATATGCTGCTCTTTCATTTTTTTTTCTCTTTTGCTGACCCATTCAACAGGCTTGCATTGATCTTCGAACGAGAGTATCCACCTCGTGTTCTGGCCCGTAAAAAATTATTTGCGCAATCGATGCTCGCTTATTCGAAACTATCCACACTCGAATGCTCGTGGTTTCCTAATAATGCATCGATTTTTAATCAAGGGTGAAGATTTACTTGTCCAAAAATTCTGTTTGCACAGCTTTTGTTTGGACACGACATGGTCTTTGCAGACGACGAATTCGATCGCGGAGAAAAGAAGCGAGCGGGAATGACGGCTGGCTTATTCCTTGAATCTCGCGTGTGTTCGATCGAAAGTAGCCGCGGTTACGTAGAAAATGTTTTCTGCCTAATGAATCGGTTATCGATCGTTAAAGGGTCAACGATCTGCAAGACCCCTCGAACTTATCTTTTTGTATTTACTCGAATAAGGCAAATGTCCTGTCACGATAGTAAATGGGTTTTTTTTATTATTAATTATTGATGAACTTTTATTTGAGCAGAAAAATTATTCTGATCAATAGGAAAGTTACATTGTTAACAAGACCATCGAAATTGAAGATAAATACTGCAACTGAATATTTTATAACATTATAAATAGTATTAAAAAATGATAATTACATTTCGTCAAATACACACGCGTGATGCAAAATTTGCAATATTTAAGCAAATGTTGATGATTTCGGAGTCACTCGCGTGCATGTGTCTTAGAAAATCGATAGAGCCTAATAAAGCACACACATCTCTTGCCGAGCTTGTTTATCGGTGTAGGATTTCCCGTACTTATACATCTGCAAATGCGATACACATTAGCGTGACTCACTCGTATTCTTCCGGTATACTTATATTGTGGGGCACTGGCGTTGCCATGCTTCTAAACGCAAAAGCAGAAAAGCTGTGTACACCTACCCAGCGATTGCGAAATTTCATTTTTTCACATTCGCCGAGGGCTGTATATCGTGTTACCCTCATGATTTGTGTTCCATGTATACATGTGTCTTTGAGTGGTAGCGGCCAGCAGCTGCGCTACATACTTTTATCACCTGCTTTTATATGTATAGGCCTATACCGAGAGCGCTTGTACTTTAGTATACTTATTATTGTTCTTTTTCGTGTACGCAGAGATAAGACTCGAGGCTCGTGGCGAGGCCGAGGTGCACTGGACAAAGAGCCGCAATGTCAAGGACAGCAGTGGGCGCAGCCACCATCACACGGATCACTATCGCGGTACCGAGCACTACTTCAACGTCTCCAATCGTCTCTTGGGAACTCCCGCGGGTAATGATGATATTACTTTATTTTTATATATAAAATACATCGCATCGCGCGATCATTTAGAACGTTTCGTTGAAACGACGCGAGTCGAGAGCTGAGATTCTGAATCAATTAACGCTTCTTGTACGAAAAAGTCGTCGAGCTTTTAGACGCACCGAGCTGATAGCGTCGTCGTATCTAATTACCGATCTACCACGAACTTGGTTTCGAATATATTTTTCAACAAGCGACTATATTCTACGTACAAAGCTGAGCTGACCTTTTTTGGTATAATATTCCACACGCCAGTTCAGCGTGGTCCAAAATAATTGCAATTATTCCCTTTATATTGACGAATTGAAATATCTGCTTCTTTATTTGTATAAATTACAGTTTAAACGTTTATCACATGTGACAGAAGTTATCATTAAGGAGATATCAAAGTCAGACTTGAATGAAATGTTTCAAACACGTTTTTTTAGATTCCTACTAAAAAGCTATGTGAACATCGAGATTAAAACGAAATGAAAACATTCACGTACAATTTAGAAAAAAAATTTAGTGAAAATATCAAAAGATGCGTTCAGAAATATTTAGCCTGACTTCGGCATCTCTTTGATTGGCTAGTTTTCTATAGTAATTTGGGGAATGACTATCCAATACCTCCACAACAAACGGACAATTGCTTGCGCTTCTCGACCAAATTTCTCAAATACTTGCTTTTGATATTAGAAATTCATGATGCTTAAAATTTCTTTTTTTTCGATGCAGGATCGAATCATGCAACGATTCCAGCTGGTACACACATATTTCCATTCACTTTTCAACTGCCCAACAACATTCCATGCAGCATCGAGCACGTGTACGGCCACGTTCGTTACACTGTCAAAGCCGTACTTGACAGGCCATGGAGATTTGACCACAAAGTCGTGCAGGCCTTTACCGTCATTGCTCCCTTTGATTTGAACGCACAACCACACCTAACCGTGAGCTTTTGTTATTTTTTAAAAATAGTTAAAATGAACCACTTCTTAGAACTATTGCAATTTTTTTCTTTACAGACGGGTATAGATGACGAAATAAGGCGAAAATTTCTCAGCTGCTGTTGTTTCAGTTCAGGTGGCATGACTATTGATGTTAAAAGTCGAGTATCTGGCTTTGTACCGGGAGAAACCATCGACTTGATTGTTAGCTACGATAATACTTCCAATAGAGTTGATTTGAAAAAAATTTCAGTCAAATTGCAAAAGAGTGTAGAATTTTTTGCATCTACACCTTTCGCAGATAAAAAAATATGCACCACGACGATAAAAAAAATTAAAGACAGTGGAGCTTTTGAAAAACAAGGAGTAAGAACATTGAAGATAGAGGTGCCTCCCTTACCCCCTTCGCGTTTAGAGCATTGTCATATCATACACGTTGCTTACAATCTGGTTTTCGAAACAAAAGTTACAGGAATGTGAGTTGTTATTTCAAATTTTTATAGAAATTAATAATCGTTTAAAGTTATTGAATTAATGCCATTTTTTTCTAGGCACTTTGGCGCGTCGAAATGTTATCCCATAGAAATAGGAACTATACCTCTGTACCAGCAATCTAGCGATAGTTGTTTGAATGCTACTTTGAACACAACAAATATTAGTTCTATAACTCCAGCTTTACCCTCAGCGCCGCCGATTGATCAAATAAGTGCGAGTTCTCAACCGATGCCACAAACCTCAACGCCAATCGGCTTCGTAATTATGAGCGTACCACCATACCTGGCAGGTGCAGCTCAAGCTATGCCGGAAATGCGTGAGTTTTTCATACATAATATTTTTGCTAAATACATTCATTTATCGTTAAAAAAATTACTCATTATAATTAATAATAATTACTTAATCTCTCGAATAAAAAGTAACGAACGAATTTTATATTTTTCAGCGCCTCCATCTTATGAAGAATGTATATCTGGTGGTAATTTAATTTCAAATCCAAATGAACAAGGCATGCATGGCCAAAGTATTCCATTTGCTCCAAAATATCCAGTGTATAAATTTCCTATGCCATCATCTAACGAGTAAAAAACTACTCCATAAATATCCACGTGAAAATTTTTCACGCACTCTTCTTTAAATCAGTATAAGTTGTCAATGGTCATTGTGATAAAATTTCCAGACTATCAAATGTAATGCTTAAAGGATAAATTAAATAAGTTTTTTAAAAACACGTTCAAGCAAGTATGCAAGTACATTCTTGGACTCGAGAAATAGATACGTGCTGTGCACCTACTAACATGTTTGTTTACTTACAAATGTTTTTCTATTTTAAATAGTTAGAATAATAGGGTGAAACGACTGTTAAAACAAGTTTATTACTATATTCTGTGCCTAGGCTGCAATAAATAAAATTTCAGGACACGTGTTATTAGTGTAAAGACGAGGTTCATAATTACGAGCCCTGGGTTTTTTTTACGCAGCCTAAATGCATAAAAAAATTTTCGTAAATTTTTTTACAAATGTTTGACAATATTACGTAGTTTGAGTTTTATATTTACTTAAAATAGCAATTGAAGGAAAAAACTACAATGCTTCAAACGTCATTGTACCAAGTGAAATGTAGGTACCATATGGGTACTCTCTTAATTTATATACTAACGTTATAAAATTTTTTATATTGTGAGTATTATAATGAAAATAAATAAAAATATATGGATAAAGAAGAAAGAACGACCAAAATGTTTTCTTTTTCAATAATTATTTTTATGATTCATGTTAATTTATTAAAAATAAATCTCTCTTCGATATTTATTAATTCGAATGTATGGTGAGTATTTAATCAATTTCCTACTTTAAATGGCTGAAAGTGATTGATAATATCTGACCTTATAAATTTGAATCGCGAATTTCCAGTTAAGTCGCACCGAAATTGATCTTGAAATCGTTTTCTCAGACGTGTATTAATCGCGAACTATTTCAACTTGATGGGTGAGCCGTTACGTTTTCAGTACGCGTTATATTTTCATTGGCTTTGGAGTCTATTGGAACATTCAAGTACAACCGATGTGCAACCGTTGAAACAATAAAAAACACGAATTATCAAAATTCGCACGCTTGAAAATCTGCGTCTGTAGAACGCGAGGTAGATTGTAGAATGTAACAGTTGAAAGAATCGAGATATATAGCGCCTGTCAATCGGCAATCGACGTAAGCGTGCGATTCCATGTGGGTTCGAGTTAGGCTCGCTCACACAATACAGCTCGAAATTGCAAGATTTCGTCAGTTTGCCAAATGCTAACTCGTACGGCGTATCGCACGACGACAAAACGTTAACCTTGCGCGCTGAGACGAAACCGGTTCATTCTCGAGAGTTCGACGTCCGAGTTTGTGCTTTCTGCGTGTGTGTTTTTGTGCATTTTTCATAGAATTTTCCAAAGGTTTTTCCAATGCGCTTGGCAAGTGCAAAAATTTTGCCGCTGCTTCGGCATCGGGCTGCTTTCACTAGGAATATTTGCAATGCTGGCCATCGAGTTTCTATGGCCAAGTCGGAGTTGGCCCAAGAACTGGCTAGAACATCGTCGTTTACAGGACTCATGAGAATTGATTCGAGGTTCCTCAGGCAAAGTGCATCAGTAATAAGTGTCAGACAATTTTCATCAAAAGGATCTTCGGATAAAGACGACCCACCAGGGTCAGTATATTTACTTCATTTAGTTCATAACATCTTTTGTTTTTATTATATTTTTACGAAAATATCAATTGCCTAATGTTATTTTACCATTTTGGTTACAAGTTTATCATTTTTTCTTATAATTAGATTCAAAATTAAATATTTTTAATCGTATGCCCTTAATAAATTTTAATTGCAAAGTTATAAATTTTTTACAATTGATTAGTCATCATTATTGCATCAATTTTTTAGTGAACTCGATGCAATTGATGTACAGCCAGAAGATTATCCAACAGCTTTGCCAGCAACCGTTGTTGTTCCTGAAGTGTGGCCAAATGTACCTGTTATTGCTATCAATCGCAACCCTGTATTTCCACGATTTATTAAGCTGATAGAACTTACTAATCCAGTTCTGATAGACCTCATAAGACGTAAAGTAAAATTGAATCAGCCCTACGTTGGAATATTTTTGAAGAAAAATGAAGAGTAAGTAACTGGGATATTAATAAAGGGTGATAATAAAATTAATCTTTTGAGTACTATCATATCAATTTTTTTTCAGAAACGAGTCAGATATAGTTGATAAAGTGGATGACGTATATAATATTGGTACTTTTGCACAAATTCACGAGGTTCAAGATCTGGGAGACCGCTTGAGGCTAGTAGTGATGTCACATAGACGCATCAAGTTGGTTGGTCAAATCATTGAAGATATTACTCCAAAACCTACAGCTGGTAAAATATATTAAGCTACTAAAAAATTTTATCCTATTTTTTTTTATTGATGACATGGTTTAGTAAAACTATTTATTTAAGTAATTAGTAGATTAGAAGAATGAGTGTCAATTTTCCTTTTGAGGTGAAATCATTTCATATTAATGTGTACTTGTGTAGAGTCAGATGAGATGAAATTGACGTTTCCCTTATTAAATACGACAATTAACGTTCCTGTAGACGAAACCATGGCTGGAGGGAAAAAAAGTCGTAGAGAATTAAGAAGGAAGAAGTTGGAGAGTAAACTTGCAGAGCAAGTGGAGAAGGTAGAAAAAATGGAGTCCATTATTGAAGCAGAGAAATCCTCAGAAAAACCAATTGAAGCTCCTAAACAAGTTCAACAACAAGAAACTTCAGAAGCCCAAACAACAGCTGACCCTCAGGCTACACAAGATATTGTTCAACCCTTACTCATGGCTGAGGTAGTCAATGTCACTCATGAAAAATTCAGATACACAGAAGAAATAAAGGTATGAAAATTATTAAAATTTTTAAATGGTTTAATCCATTAATAATTTTATTTTATTTTTTATAGGCCTTGACTCAGGAACTAATAAAAACTATCAGGGATATTATCAGCATGAATTCTTTATATAGAGAATCGTTGCAACAAATGTTACATCAAGGACAAAGGGTTGTTGACAACCCTGTATACTTGAGTGATCTAGGAGCAGCTTTAACCGGAGCAGATGCTGCAGAGCTGCAACAAGTACTTGAGGAAATGGATGTCAGTTGATATAAAAAAATTTGATTATATTTATTTGAAGTTTATCTTTTGATATTAACTTTTTGTTTGTTTACAGATAACAAAAAGGTTGAGACTATCATTAGCTCTCCTCAAAAAAGAGTATGAACTGAGTAAATTGCAACAAAAAATTGGAAAAGAAGTGGAAGAAAAAGTCAAACAACAACATAGAAAATACATTCTACATGAGCAACTAAAAGTTATAAAAAAAGAATTAGGTTTGGAAAAAGAAGATAAAGATGCTATCGCAGAAAAATACAGAGAAAAGATAAAAGACAAAGTTCTTCCAAAGCCTGTCATGGATGTTTTAGAAGAAGAATTAAATAAAATAAGCTTTTTAGAGAGTCATAGTAGTGAATTCAAGTAATTTAAATAATTTGAATTTAATTAGTCTTAGACAACCGATTATTGTTTATTAACAAGTAAAATTATTTACAGTGTCACAAGAAATTATCTTGATTGGTTGACTTCTATGCCTTGGGGTGTAACTAGTCCGGAAAATTTAGAAATTACACGAGCAATGGAAATTTTGGATGCAGATCATTATGGAATGGAAGATATAAAAAAACGAATATTGGGTATACATTTATACTTTTAAAACAAATTTTAATTATTGATCATGTAGAAAAATCGAAAACCTCAACATTTTTTTAGAATTTATTGCTGTTAGTCAATTGAAAGGATCCACTCAAGGAAAAATTCTATGCTTCCACGGACCTCCCGGTGTTGGAAAAACTTCTATAGCTAAATCGATATCTCGAGCCTTAAACCGAGAATATTTCCGATTCAGTGTCGGTGGTATGACTGATGTTGCAGAAATCAAGGGTCATCGACGAACATACGTTGGTGCCATGCCCGGAAAAATTATTCAATGTCTGAAAAAAACGAAGACTGAAAACCCTCTAGTTCTTATAGATGAAGTGGACAAAATTGGAAAGTCAGTATAGAAAAATATAAACTACAAATTTTATTTTGTATCATATCTCAAACTAAATATCCACTTATTTCATAGGGGATATCAAGGCGATCCAGCATCAGCTTTGTTGGAAATGTTGGACCCAGAACAAAATTCGAATTTCTTGGACCATTATCTTGATGTACCAGTAGACTTATCTAAAGTCTTATTTATCTGTACAGCTAACGTAATTGATACTATTCCTGAGCCTTTGCGTGACAGAATGGAAATGATAGATATGTCTGGATATGTTGCTGAAGAAAAACTAGCTATTGCAAAGCAATATCTGGTACCTCAGTCAATGAATAACTCTGGATTGAAAGATGATCAAGTAGTAATTGACGATACTGCCTTGAATTATCTTATAAAATCGTACTGTCGTGAATCTGGTGTTAGAAATCTACAAAAACAAATTGAAAAAGTACATCGTAAAGTTGCATTTAAAGTTGTCAAAAAAGAAGCAGAGAAACTTGAAATTACAAGTAATAATCTTCAAGATTTTGTTGGAAAGCCCATCTTCACTCATGATAGAATGTACGATATTACACCTCCTGGAGTAGTAATGGGCTTAGCATGGACTGCCATGGGTGGCTCAACGTTGTTTATTGAAACAACTGTCAGAAAACCAAATGATACTTCTAAGAAATTTGCGGGTTCATTTGAGGTAAAGTACTAATGTTTCCTCGAATTTGAATTTATTGCCTTTATTTACTAAAAGTCCAATTCAATTTTCAGGTCACTGGGCATTTAGGTGATGTGATGAAAGAATCGATAACCATAGCTATGACAGTAGCACGAAACTTTTTACAAAAACACGATCCGACGAATACGTTCCTGTACGACGCCCATCTACATCTTCACGTACCTGAAGGAGCGACGCCTAAAGATGGTCCTAGCGCAGGTACAACAATAGCAACAGCCTTCTTATCTCTTGCCAAAAATAAATCAATACGGCAAAATATTGCAATGACTGGCGAACTCAGTCTCATGGGAAAAGTTCTCCCTGTTGGTGGTATCAAGGAAAAGACTATTGCTGTTAGTATTGAAATATTTCATATTTTGTTCCTTTAAAAATTTAGTTATTCATTTTCATTATTTTTTTAACATTCATAACATCTAGGCAAAGCGCGTTGGTGTCACCTGCATACTCTTACCTGAAGAAAATAGAAAAGATTTCGATGATTTGCCCAAGTACATTACAGATGGTCTCGAAGTTCATTTTGTGGATAGCTTTGATGACATATACAGAATATGTTTCTCAGAGGGTCAAAGTAGTCAAACACCTGTACAGCCTAAAGAAGATACGTCTCCGCAGTATATTGCAAAAAAACAGGCTCCATTACAAGCATGAGAGTCAAAAGTGTTATTTTCATTCATTTTGAAAATATGGGGTATTGCAAAAGCAATGCCTCATAATCTTAAAAGTTAAGACCATGAATTTATTACATTCGATTTTTTTTTTATTATTGAACGGGTATTACCTTCAAATTAAAGCCGATATTTAAGACTCTTGTTACATACAGAGAATACTGAAACCAGAGTAAAAATAAAAATTCGAAATACATTTTCCGATGTTTCTACTGAATATTTTCGTGAAAAACTTACGTGGATTTCTCGAAAATAATGTTATTTATAAATCCACGAACTTTTTTGGAAAATTATTTTAAAGAAATTTAGAAAATGGGAATGAAAATTTTTATCTTTACCTGGCCAAGTCTTTCCTTTTACTCATATACAACTTGCATGACAATGATCATTTTATGTAGTATTTATTGTGTACTACTTAAATTTCTTCATTTTATGACTTTCAAAGTTAAACTTTGAACAAATTGAATATATAAAATGTTTGGAACGTAATAGTTAAAACAATAAAAAGTAATTTAGTCAGTCTTTTAATAGCACAACAGTATCAAATGATCAAGTTCGTGATATTTCAAACTTGTTACAGAGTAATACATATTTTTGCAAAAAGAGTATCCTTTGTAAATATGTACAGTAAATGCGTTTTACAAACATAATTTGTTGTTAAGATGCTTCATACAATTTTGTATAATATGAAAGTTAAAGATGATATAATTTTATCTAGGAAATGCAAAGCTTTGTACAAAAATATATTGTTTAAACTAATAATAATTTTCTTTTCATTCATTATATAATAAGTGTATGTTTAATTGAATGACAATGATGTTAATAATGAATGATGATGTAGTGAACATTTTTGGTAATTATTCAAGTCATCTATTTTTCTCATTCTAATTTAACGAAAATACTATCCAGGAAAATCCATTTTGCTAAGTCTTATAATAAAGTCACAAAGTCTCATTTGAACTTGTATATCCATAGGATTGTTTGTGATGTAAAAACCAGGTATACCAGCTTTCTCCAAGGTACTCTGCTGATCAGCAACTTTTTGATCAAGTTGCAAGACCAATTTCATATCTTGCTGTTTTAATTCTTCTCTGTGTCTTTGAAACATGGCCTGTTTAACAGCTTCTTTTTCTTCATCAGAGTGTATATTTGCTAAAGCTTGCAGAATTTCATTTTTCTGTGAACTAATTAATTGTAAACGTTGTTGAAATAGATGTTTCTCCGTTACATGCTGAATTTCCATCAAACCCTTTACAATTTCAAAAATGGTATCATTTAACAAATTATTAGCCAAGCCAGATAAAAGTTCATAGGGAAGTCTCATCTGATACTTGATTGGTAACTCGCGAACCATTTGTTGTAATTGGTCCATTAAAAAATAAACTTTCCGCTGAATATCTTGCGGTGTCAGTTCGTCGGCATCCATGTTTGACAAGTAGAAATGGAATAAACAAAGTAATAACTGTAACAAAATAGTTACAATTAAAAATAGATACAGGTTATAAAAAATCCTTGCGGACCTTACCTTATTATAATAATAAATTTGTTGATTCAATTAAATTGGATGGGATGATTTATTAACAATTGCTATTAAATATAAAAAACACTCGAAACATTTCATCATTTTCACGCTATTTCTATTCACATTGGCATTTATTTTACGATAGTATAGTCAATGCTCGAATGCTTTTCGGAGCACCTTGATACAGTCTTCCGAGCTGCATGAGTTACTTCAGTTGTTTGTCATACATTGTTTTGACCGACATAACCCTCATTTTAGTTATGTGACATTTTAACTGTTAGAAATAAATCGTTAAATCATTCATAAAGTTACTCATTTTTTTCATGTATGAAACTTGTAAATACCGCAAGATCTGGTGATTAGATTTTAATATAAGTGCAAGTATTATTTCTTTGTAAACATCGAAATCATTAATCTAATCATGCATGTCATTCAGAGTTTGTTTTATTGCCTTTTATTTGTGTTTACATTTCACTACGTAAAAGGTACGGTTGAGTAATCAAAGTTTTTAATTTTGCAAAATGAAATGATTTCCCAATAAATATACGTTATCATGTAGGCTATCAGCATCATCATTTCCATCATCATCATCATAACAACCACAATAATCATCAACCTGTTGATGAAATAGGTTCACCCATTAGTACAAAAGAATTAAGAAAAGTTTCAGAAGTAATTTTTGAACTTCTTCCTTCTGGACTTTTCCCCTCTATTGATGTTAATTACCAAGGACAAAGAGAGACTAAGGATGCAAAAGATGAAGCTCCTGAACCGTAAGTTAGATTTATTAGTGGTAATTTAATTCTCAAGATTTATATCTTTTATATATTTTTCAGTTTGTTTTTTATACCCTTGGATTTGTTTGAAGTTTTACCCCCCATAGAACTGATGAGAAAATTGTATGACAATTATAATTTGAATTCCCATTATCATGAGCATGTAACATTGGAAGAAGATATAGAAGAGAACCAGTTTATTAATAGTTTACTGGAACAAGAACTCCTAGTGTATACCATGGACTTTTTAGCTAGCAAAGGTTACTTTGCAAAAAATTTTCATGAATATAAAAGGATACTGAAGGATTTGTGGTTCCGACGATTCTCAAGATTTAATGAAACTGCTTTGGGTAGCTCTGGCTTTGAGCATGTTTTCTTAGTAGAAAAGAAACATAATAGATACATCACAGGTCTTCATAATTGGATATTTTTTGCTGACGAAGAAAACAGTAACAAAGCAAATTATCTTGGATATGTTGCCAAAGTAGATTTACATAATGTAAGAAAAATTATGATTCATTATGCTTTTTATTACATACTGTATGCAATATTTTTTATTTTTTATTTTTACAGAAAGCAGCAATATTGAAATTTTATGTGTCATATCTGGGAAAAACTAAGTTAACATCAATGTTTATTGGAACACCACCAGAATTTGAAATAGCTCTATATACGCTTTGCCATTTTGCGAGACCAAATAAGGTTTGCAAAGTAACTTTAGGTAATGTTAAAGTAGCTATTATGACACATTCTGAGAGTATTGACAATCAACAAGTTATTAGTACAGCATTTCCTAAGATTTACGCTTAAATTAAAAGTAATAATCTAATTTTGAGACTTGCTCAAATTATACATTTTAGTAGGGGAAAGTTAAACTTTAACATAATCTTATAGTAAAATTTATTTACAATATACAAAATAGTTTTAATCACGATGGAGTAATTAAAAATACTGTAATCATAACGTATTTATATAGTTGAGTAGTTTGGTGATTGTCATCACGACTTGTCAAAAAAATTCAAATTCATCTTTTACTCTGCCAAAATTGTTAGTGTTCAGTCTTCGTATATATACTTGGACAAATTTTTTCTCTAGATTGTTATAACTATAAGATCTGTTACAACAACTTTTCATTATGAAAAGAAAAGTATTAATTCTTAATTATGATTAACATATAATACCTAAGTATTACTAGATAATTATTGCATAATAATATAATGAGCCCACTTGACAAAATCAACTATAAGACTGGAAAACGTACTTAGAAAATAATACAATTATGCATTTTTAAAAGAATAGATCCTGAAACTTGTAACGCTGGATGATCAGTTAATTAATTGTAATTTGAATCTCCAACTACATAGCGAGAAAGCCTTGTTAATTTTATGATAGGCGCTGCTAGCTGTATCGTATTGATGTACAGGTTTGAACGAAGCCTATGTAACTAAAAAAAAAAGAATCATGTGAAAACATTGACTTGTTTGCAAGAAAAAAATGAAATTGAGAAGGAAAAAAGACTTGATGTACAGTCAATGAAGTACGTAAAACTTATGTTGTGAAAAATAGTGTATTTTTTTACCACAATAAAGTAACTTAAAATGGAAAAAAAAAACAAGCGTCGAGTATTCTGTCGCTTATCCGGCTATATCATACGTGCGTGATTAAAATTGATTGAATAATTGGGCAATCGCGAGAGGACGAATGCGCGCAGCAAAAAAGATATAGCCCGACGCTCGCAGTGTATACGAAGGAGGGAAAATGAAAAGTGTGCATCATCCCTATGAGTATAGTTATTGGCCTCTGACCAGGCGCGTCGCGTGTTGCCAGAGTCGCGCCTACACACCTGTAAACAAAGTTGTTTCGCGCGCGCTCTCGACGCAGGTAGCGGAGCCCACGAATAATCGATCCGCGCAGCTTCTAAACGCCGCTGCTCGCTCGCTCGGCTCCCATGACATAAGCCAATAATAGCAAAAAGGTAAAACCGTGCGTGTTTGTGTGTTGGCGTGTGTGTCGGCGCATGCTATAACACATTATCTCATACAACGGCAGCGCGCACCTATATAAACATCATCGCTCATATACCTATATATTTGCGATCCGCACCGGCGAACGTTCCCGAAAGGTTTTGCGCCGTCTGCTCTGCTGCTGGCTGTCGTTGTGCAGCAGCAGCAACTCAGTATCCGTTCAAACACCTTTATTCGACGTTTAATCGTCGCATCGCCGCTCTTGAGCTTCGTCACGTTTCGCGTTGCAGCGACCCGTGTATATAGCCATCGATAAAAGTGCAATTGTGCTTTCTTGTGGTGCGAGTGTCAAATCATAGTGTAGTATACCTGCAAGATCAAAAAAACAACAACGACGAACGATCTACTCGCGTAGAGATAATTCGTGGAGTGCAGCTACTGAGCGCAGCAGCAGCAGCAGCCAAAGAATCCACTCATTTGTAAGTTTTATTTTTAATGTAATTTTCAGATGACTTTTCCGTCGAATTGGTACAAGTTTGGAATAAGAAATGCGAAAGTCCGTCCTCGAGGGGGTCATCGACGAGGTAATATAATATCGGACGGTGTGGCCGACGACAACGGTTAAGGATTTCAAAGTGCAGTATATAATAGCGACTAGGAGCTTTGAGAAGAGAACTTCAAACGACGAGCGAGACTCGCAATACATCGACACACGCACCAGAGAACTTTGAAGCTCGTAGCTTATAAGCAGCCGACAGCTCGCGATGCGAATATTATATATACGCATCTACGTGTGCGATATGCAGACCACTGCAGATTTACCCTCGCGGTCGTTTCCCGCCTCGACTGGAGCCGAGAGAGAGAGAGAGATAACTCGGAGCGAAATTTTATCTCTGCGTCAGCAACTATAATAAGTGTGTAACAAAAATTTACGACTCCTGCTTAAATGCGAATCCACGTGCACTCGAGTCTCGAAATATTTTATATAACCGGGAATTTTCGTTGGATGCAGGTCTCTTCGTAGAACGGTGCATAAATCACAAAGACGGAGCATTCATATCTATTCTATTAGACGGTGCGCGTGTCAATTTTTACATGTAGCGCCTAAACGTCATGACACGTATGTAATACAAGTCTTCCATCCAGCACGAGAATAATCTAGATAATTCAATTATAAGTTAAGAGTGCGTCAACGCGCGCGAGCGACGATATTTAATTAGAGCTGCCACCTCGTGTCCATTCAAATGAGCGGAAATTGCGGCGTCGGATACATAAGTACGCTCGATCATATCATCGGTAAATTTACAAAAGAGACGAGTCCAAGTTTCATCGAATGTAGTACAGAGTATAGCAAGGATTATAATGTAAAGTGACGCATCGGTGGAATATAGTTTCCACTCTTGGACACTACGATGGCTTGTTATTTTTCAATTATCTCTCGATTGCTCATTACATCGGTGAGCAGGTTCAACCTTCCCGCGCATAATTCACGCACTCTGCTTTGATTGCATTATTTTCACCCGCGCGACTTTAATGATCTTTGATCGATCACGAGCCTCGTCCGTATACGCGTGTAACCGCGGAAAACTTGGTTAATAATTTTACGCGCGAGAATTAGCCGCGTGCGTGCGGGGATATATTTACTTTTATATTTACGTAACGCACGGGCGCGCGGGAGGGACTATATGTTCAAAAATCGTCATCGAAATTGTAACTGTGTCAAAGTATTACGTGCCAAAATGATCTCTCTCTCTCTCTTTCTCTAGCCTCTATAGGATGACTCGGGTGCAGAATCGCCTCGACGTTGCTGTCGTAGTCGTAGCCGAGCGTAAACTCGCGCAAGATCGCTGATTAGAGCCAATCCTTGATATTTTTACGAGACGTCGAGTCTATTATTATATATGATGATGATCGGCGTTGACGAGCGAGCAAAAGCTTTAATATTATGTATCCGCGGTATAATGAATAATAATGCAAACGTAAATATTTACCACACTTATGAACTTTATCTGCTCTGCAACTTGAGATGGCAAAAGGCCAAAAAAAATCTCAAGACTTTTAACGACGACACGCGGAAGACTTATATTATACTTTCGCGAATAAAATCACGGTTTATCTCGACGGTACTTCTATATACATTGTACAGCTACAAACTATTACTATATATCCTACGCTTCGGCAATTTTCATTTACACTATCAAATCTTTATTTTCGAGATCCATTCCTTACTATCGAATTGAATGTGATGAATTGGCAGGATTGCTTGGCATCACAAAATATTTTTCATAATCAGTTAAATTATGGATATAGGTTTCTTCGAGCTGCGTACGATATAGTAACTATCGTGAAATACAATCGTATTCGGAGGCCTTGACATCAGCTGTTATTTACAAGCGAGGCATAAAATGTTTACCCGAGTAGCAAAGTTCTTGCCCGGTCAGACTTTGTTGTCGAGCTTAATTAATTGTAACTCTCTCTTATTCTCTCTCGCGAGAGCTCGCGAGCAATTGATAATCGAATATGCAAAAACCCAGACTGATTTTGATGTTGTTGAGACTACTATCGCTCACGTGGTTTCTACGACGATTTATCGCGTCACCTATAACAAATTAGGGTTTTCGGAGCGGGAAAAATTGATTAATATTTTGATTTGCAGAACGAAAAGAAGAGCAAAATAAGAGACGCGACACGAGGCAGCTATTTAACATTATATATTGCAATCTGTAGACGCTATCAGCAACACTATTGGCATATTCAGGCTCCCAATAGAGACGTATGATACACATAAACACATGGTAGATAATATAGCATAATGTAGTCTTCTCTCACACAATAATCAGGCCGAACGAATAATTTATGCCGATGTTATTTGAGTTTTTCCGTTTTTCCCTTTTTTCTCGTCATGAGAAAATGATCAACAATTATATTCTCTGCCTGCGAGAGTAATGTAAAGCGAGCGCAGTTATCGAAAAATGAATAACTTAATAGATAATGATTCCCATCGAGCTGTAACGTAGCGGGCACGTATAACGTTATTACTTCATTCGCATACATGGACTCGATCGTCCAAGTACACAGATTCGCAGTCGAGGTCGAAAATCGTGGAAACTTATTGAATCGCATGGAAAAAATAGGCGAAAATTTAGTGTAAGCCGCTGCAGCGAGCTTTGCACGAGTGCGGACTTGTCAACACGATCGCGGCACGACGCAAGCACGTGTCGAGCAGCCGCTCGACTCTGCTCCGCAGCTAGTCTTAGTCCATATCTCTCGGCATCGCAATTAACTATGTACCGATCCGCGACGTCATACATAATGCGGTTACATATTATATTATGCGCTCCGAGTCCGTGATATATCTGGAATATATGGAGGAGAGCTCGAGAGCTTACGAGTACGAAAAATGCAACCGATCGCGCGCGCACACAGGCTTGAGTTACTTACTGCACACACAACTATACTTTGTCAGCTGTACCCTGCATGTAGCTTCTTATTTCAATATGATCCCGCGCCGTATATTTGCCACCTTTGATGTGTCACATTGACACTGCTGCTGCTGCTGCGTCGCGTCGCGTATGATTGACAAGTTCTAATGCGCGATTTGGCTTTGACATTTTTCGTTTTCTAGATTTGTAAACAAAGCGGGTAGATTTGTGATCGCGCGTGGAGTTCACGTGCTCGTCTTATACAGAAGTATATTAATTCGAATCACCGCCGCTACAAAACCGTGTCCGAAAAATCTTATCGTCGAGATGGGCTCCTTTATAACAGATTATTGCAAAATCATTTTCTCGTTTCCGTAATAACTTCGCATCTGACACGCACCAACTGACTGACTACCTCATGATGAAGTTTATATGCATCGCATGGCTCGCGATCGGCCGTTGGTAAAAAATGTCCAATACGTCTAAAGTTAAAAAGATTCATTACATGTTTACGTTTTCAAGTATTGACAATAGAAATTCATTAGAGCAGAAAAGACAAATTTTGAAAGATATTTCGTTGACAATTTCGGTCCCAATTATTATTTCGAACACGAGCAAAAAAAGGGAAAACCCACGTTTGATTGCGGCAATTTCTCTATTTTACAAATTTGATCCATTTCTATGAAGATATAATCTTAGAGACTGTATTAATTTTTTTCATCTTGTATTTTTATGCGAAAACGCAGCATCATTGATACCGCTATCATTTATCCGGCTCCTACTAGATTCATGTGGTTTTAAATATTATCGTCGAAAGTGATTAGAATTATTTTAAACGATGTTGTAACACACATTGGCCGACGTTGACGGCATACATTTTGGACTTTACCTCGATGACGTGCTCCTCGCAGGCCATCCGACGATGGCTAGAAATTGTTTGTCGCGAAATTTTGCTCAGGAACCCGAGAGCCCGAGAAAACGCGACGCTATCTCGAGCTGATTTCAATAGTAAAACGTAGTATAAACGTAGAGCGTATGCATAAGGCCTCGAGTGACATTGGCTCTGCGTTTGCCCTCGAAGAAGAGATCCTGTGACACAATATCGTTTTGCGCGTTGTTCGAAAACTTTGCGTCGTTTCGAATCGGTAGCGAACTCGGATGTATTTCGTTTCACACGCGCGTGAAAATCAGGTACGATGTTGTCTTTTTTTTTCATGCTCCATAAAACTTTTATCATCTCGAGCCTAGTCCGATTGACGCATTTGCTCGTTGGTCTTGGCCAATCCGAAAAGAGGCTATCTCGATCGTTGTCACCTAGAAAAGCAAAACAGTTGTAATCATCATATTTAGGGGGCCACTCGTAACGAGAGTAAGAGAGAGAGAGAGAAAAACTAGCTTTGAGTTTTTGAAGCAAAGCATCACAAATAAACAGGTTGTCATCGCGGGTTGAATTATTAATCGGTCGTAAAAACGCGACGCTTGAAGAAAAAGCTTCGATAGAATTATATATCATTTTGCAATCGGTATAATATAATACGTAATCGCAGCGAGAAGTCTGTTGACTCTATTGAGCCTTGTTGCGTCTGTGCAAACACAAAATAATACTCGCTGTGCGAGCGAACGAGCGCGACTTTATCGCGTCAAAACTTTGCCGCTTCCAGATCATCGAGACACATGATCCAACCTGCGAGCTACGCTGCATATACGAGTCGATGAAGCAAATCATAAATTGTAATTTGACAACCAAACGAAAAGGTAGCCGAGGGAAAATGAATCGTTTCAATCAGTCAGGAGTTGGTTATTATCGAAAATAAAAGCCGACGATGCAAAACGTCGAGTGGTTTATTATTGTTGGTCGATTGTAAAAATTACTCCATCGACAAGAGACGAAAGAGACGGTGGAAATTAAAAGCGGCCGAGTTAGAGAAGGGTCATTGCTCAAAGCGAAAAAAAAAAGAAAATCATGCTATCGCCGACGACGATGCTGCGCCGATGAGGCAAGGTAGTCGTCACACGATGCGCCACAGCCATTGCATCGCGATCGCGAGAGCCGCGCGGGGGCATTTCAGCGAGAGAAGATCGGCTTTCCTCGGGCGAACAAGAAGAAGTAGAAGAAGAGCCTCCCGCTCCGCGAGCTCGAAGATAAACACCGTAGTCACGAGCGAGTGAGAAAGAGTGAGAAGGAATCTGGAAAAAGGAGGAGAAGCGAGATATATTGTTGTAAAGACGAATTAATATTCTCGCTGTATCGCGAGCTCGTGTGTGTGGGTTTTCGATTGTAAAATAAGCAACGCGAGCCGCGATAACCCCGTTGGCGTGTACAGCAAGTGCATTCATCCTTTTTTCACCCCAACGTTTTTTTTCGAGCTTGCCGCCGATGGCCCTCCTCCTCCTCCTCCTCCTCCTTCTCTCGTTCGATCGTTTACTCGCGTTATACATGTATTATATGACACGCGGGTGAAAAGGTCAAAAGTCCCAGAAGCAACTGCGAACGCAAATATTCTCTATAGTCTTTCTCTCTTTATTTCTTCATCGTCGCTCTCTTTGCCTCGATTGCGGGTTTTCGCGCATATAAGCAGCTTCGGGGAGATTGATATAACACAGCGTACTGGTTCATTGATAAGCCAAAAGTCTGTCTGTGTGTGTGCATACGAGAAAGAGTAAGCGAGGAGAGAGAGAAAAGAGGCAAAGATAGGGGATATGACGTTTTTTTGACGCGAAAGCGCATATCGAGGGATCGTCGTAAGAAATCGGCGTAACGCACAATCACACGGGCAAAGTTCGTCTAGACCGGTGGGTGTCAAGAAGCTGCCTCTCTCTCTCTCTCTCTCTTTCTTTCTCTTTCGAGCTCCTCCAGTTTCGGCCTCTGTCCTACGACGCTACATCGACGGTCGCCGATCAATCAGTCAGTCGGTCTCTCGAGTCCAATCGTCGACTACACGCACCTTCTCGGCAGCGAATCTCGAGCAGCAGCTTTTCGGACTACTTGTTGGATCCCCACTTTTCGTCGCGCTCGCGCCTACTAGCCATCCATAGAGATCTACCAGAGCAGAGGCAGGCAGGCGACGACAAATCATACTCGCTCTAAAAAAAAAGCGCAAAAAGCAAAAAATGGGCATCTAGAAATAGAGAAACACAGAAGTGGTGGAATACATAATACACACGTATACGCGCAAAGTCGCGCACAGATCGGCATATCGGCGTTTCTTCTTGTGCGTAGATAAAGATTGGCTGCATGCAGTCAATAGATATCATTACGGAAGGCTCGACGGCGTCGTTGGTCGCGGTTATAAAAGAGCGCGGCGCCGGCGGCGAGAGTCAGATAATCAAGCAGGCCAAGACGGAAGAAGATCTGAAACTAGGCAAGAGCAACGACGACAACAACAACCAAGACGACGAGGCCAAACTCGCCAAAAAGAAGCAGCAGCAAGAAGCGACGGAGCAGCGACCGAGTGGTCTTCAGGATTGCAAAGTGTCGCAGGAGTCGTTGAATCGAGCTCTGTCCTGCTCGTTCACGTTAGCCGCGCGAGCTGCCAATGTCGGCAGCAGCAGCAGCAGTGTGAGTAGCAGTAGCAATAACAGAAAGCACGTGGCGCACCAGCACGCCAACAGCCTCAACAGGAAGATACAGCAGCTGACGGTGCAGTCGAGCAGCGCGAGCGGCGGCGATCTCACCCCCAACAAGGAGGACTTTCGCATTCTATTCCAATCCAAGTACCTGTTCGACGTCAACAGCAACAACTGCTGCAATAATTACAACAACATGTCCGGCACAGAGTCGCGCAGCTACAGCTCCTCGGGCAGCATGATCGTCGTCAGCAACCGGCTGCCCTTCGTCCTCAAGAGGAACGATCTCAGCGGCAAGCTCGAGCGCAAGGCCAGGTAAGAAAAAGCTCCATATCTCACTCTCAGCTTTCATCTCGATTTACTCGAGCTTTCAAGCTCTCCGGTCTATACTCGCGAGCGATTCGGCCTCGATCTAGCTCACAAAAGTGCATTTTGTCATCGATCCGTTGAAAGAGTCATTCGCATGAATGTTTCTTTTCTTTTCTTTCGTCGAAGAAAAAGCGCACCAAGGTTTACATCAACAAAAGAACACAGTCAAAATAAAAAAAAGTGTCGCTATTAGTCGCACGTATAAAAGTCTCGATCGCGACTTCCGAGATGAAAACAAATCGTCGTCGTCGCGAGCTAAGAAACACGTGAGAGAGTGATGCAACGCACCGCGCATTCGACCGCAGAGAGCGAGAGAAAATCGACGCGAGCTAGCCGCGAGTCGCCGAGTCAAGTGTAAGGTGAAGGTAATCGCTCTCGAGGTTCGCGAGCTCTGCATACGGCTGTAATACATAATTGGCGCGTTCGTTTCGCGCCGCGCGGCGGCGGCTGCTGCTGCTGTTTTTTTTGCGCACGCACTTTTCTTTCTCGTCGACGATCGCGACCAAAACCACGCGATTGTTTTTTTCTTTCTCGCGCCGAGACTACGTGTGCGCGATCGAATTATTGCCTTTTCTTAATGCATGAAAAGTATAAGCGACGCATTATCTCGGCGTACAATATCCTGACGAGCCAGAGCGAGAGTCGGGGCGCGCTCGGTCATGCAAATCGCCGCGAAACATGTAAACATCATCATCAGTAGCCGATACGAGAACGCATCATCATCGACGGATTTTACAGACCAGCTCGGGCTCGATAAGACTGTAATCTTTTTTCTGTTGCTGTACCTACGTGCGCGAACCGTGTTAGTTTTGATTTTCTTTACATTTTTATCGTGTTTGTGTCTCTATCGAAAAACAATATTAAATACGCGCGCCAATTTCCCGCCACATTTCATAATATTCTTAACGCTTTCGACTTAAAACTATACTCTACTCGCATCCTTATCGTGGCGCGATCTTTTCGATACTAATATTCAGCTAAATTTTTTTGCACTTTCTCGTCGAATACGAGATTAGTTTTATAAAAGAATTCTAAGCCTAATATTTTCATTGAGATCTTGAAAACTCGTACATTTGGAGTAAAAATTAACGAGAAAAAAGCACGTCAAAATAATGCAAGTTATTTGGAACATCGCGTGTACACGTACACACGAACGTGTCGGGAGGGGATTTTTAAACGCAATGTGATTTATCGAAAAACAGACAGCGCGCCGCCTTTGGCAGATATCTCTGGAAGACGCTTCGCAAAGCTCTCTTCTTCTCTCCTCCTCCTCCTCTTCTTCTTCTTTTTTCAGTCCGCATTTTTCAATAATCAGTATGTCGAAAGAAACTTTTGACGCGATAAGATATGTACACTCATAAACAATGATCGTTGTTGCTCCAAACAATTTTTTTTTAACAGCATCGAATTGCCTCGTTGAAATTCAATTAGAGCGGTATATTTTCCAACCTGCGCTTCGGCATCGCGTAAAATGTATTCAAGTTCTGGCTTTTCTCAAAAAAGTTTCGATCGAAATCGATGCAGTCGCGGCTTTATTATCCGATTATGCAAGAATTTTACAGTTAATGTGGCTAATTTTACGACGTCTCGTTCTCTATCGTTCGCGAAGGAGCTTAAAAAGATGACATGTTCGAAGCGACACTGCCTAAAAATAGGGAAATGAACGCCGATAAAATTGAAAAAAGTAGCAGCGCTCGTACACTTGTACACACGTTTAAGTGCAATAAGGAAGTAAAGGCCAAATACGTATTTGCACCGGGAGTGTGGACAGGAGTCTTAGTCGTAGTCGTGATTTTTTTTTCGCGCGAAATATCTACACGCAAGGTCGATCGTGTCTATCACGTGCTGCGCGTACGCTACGCTGCAGGGAGAGATATAAACGCATACAAGTGCATTATAGGCCGTCGAATCTAAACGATACCGTTATTAGTGCGAATTAATGAGATGTATTATTCCTCTCTAAGCACGAGTACGCGTTATGGCAATTGTGTGTACGTCTGAAAATTTTTTTGCTGAAAATCCGAGACGAACACACAACATCGGCACACGTGATAAATGCATGTCGACGCTGCTGCTGTTGCTGCCGATCCGTTGCTCTCGATACATGTGCCGAACTAATGATCTCGCTCGTGCTGCGCTACATATCTCCGCTGTATTGGACGTCAATGTTTCGGGAAACGACCTTAAAGAGCAATGATGAAATCACAATTCGTACGCGAGGTCGATTCGATACTATGTTATACAAAGATCTGCAGGCCGTGTACGAGAAAAACGTTACGTGAATTTTTATCAGCGGCACTTGCGTAAAAAGTCTACAGCAGGCTAAACATTTTCGAGCCCGATGTCTTTATTTAGATGTGTTAGCGGAAATTGCGCTCGACGATCGGCTCGGCCAATTTCACTTATCGTTTGCAGTGTGTATCATAATCCGAAAGCGACTCCAAACGGGGTGAGCTTTAATCTAAAGAGACTTTGATCGTGTCCTACTTTAGGGGGAGAAGAAGAAGACGCGCTACTATATGCTCTCGCCCCGGCTTATCACCAACGACACATTAATTTTTCACAACGTAATGTAACGTTATTATCCCATGAGAAAAAGAAAAACGGTCCAATAACTACCGCAGCATCATCGTCACCTCATGATCTTTATGAAACGTTTAAATGATTTTTACAGCCGCGAGCAATAAATTAAATACAGACATATAATGAATTTTCTTCTTCCTGATCTCGCTCGTACGTGTAATGTAAACTGTTATTGATTTGCTTCAGCGCCGGGGGTTTGGTGACTGCCGTCGCCCCGGTCGTCATCAATGGAAATGGCATCTGGGTCGGCTGGCCGGGTATGCACATGGACAACCCCAACGAGCAGATACCCGAGTCCGATCCCACCGACCGTACCCCCACGGCTGGACTCTTATCCAAAAAGGTACGTATACGAGATATGCGTGGACATTAGTCATTCACTTTTTTTGCTCGTTTACTATATACACAAGAGTCGCTGCTGTTTATCTCGAGCGAGAGGTCACAAAGTTCATGTCGCGCAGCTCTCGTCTTTTTTTTTCTTTATACATTCATCGAAATAATGTCACGCGTGTTTGATTACAGACGTCGACGTCATCTTTCTTATATTAATTTCCCATTATTATCTCGACTTCGGCCGAATGAAAAAGCGAGATGTAATTGTTCGATCGTTAAATTTCACACGTATGCAGTCGAACGAATGTTTTTCTTGACGATGCTCCCCCGAATCGGTTGCAGGTAGTAGCGGTGCACGTTGAGCCGACGGTCTTTGACTCGTACTACAACGGCTGCTGCAACGGCACGTTCTGGCCGCTGTTCCACTCGATGCCCGACCGGGCGACCTTCATCGCGGACCACTGGAAGGCCTACAGCACCGTGAACGAGGAGTTCGCCGCCAAGACCGTGAACGCCCTCGAGATGATCCACAAGGAGCAGGCGGGCCAGGTCAGTGGCACCCCCCTCGTCTGGGTCCACGACTACCACCTCATGCTCTGCGCCAACTGGATCCGCCAGGCCGCCGACGAGAAGAACCTCAAGCTCAAGCTGGGCTTCTTCCTGCACATCCCCTTCCCGCCCTGGGACATATTCCGGCTGTTCCCCTGGGCCGACGAGATCCTCCAGGGCATGCTGGGCTGCGACATGGTCGGCTTCCACATCCAGGACTACTGTCTGAACTTTGTCGACTGCTGCCAGCGCAGCCTGGGCTGTCGGGTCGACCGCAAGAATCTGCTGGTCGAGCACGGGGGTCGCACGGTGCGCGTCCGCCCGCTGCCCATCGGCATACCCTTCGACCGGTTCGTCTCCCTCGCGGAAACGGCGCCCAAGGTCATGTCGACGAATCTCAAGATCGTCCTGGGGGTCGATCGACTGGACTACACCAAGGGCCTGGTGCACCGGCTCAAGGCCTTCGAGATGCTGCTGGAGAAGCACCCCGAGCACCGGGAGCAGGTGACCCTGCTGCAGATCGCCGTGCCGTCGCGCACCGACGTCCGCGAGTATCAGGACCTGAAGCTGGAGATCGACCAGCTGATCGGCAGCATCAACGGCCGCTTCACCACGCCCAACTGGTCGCCCATACGCTACATCTACGGCTGCGTCAGTCAGGACGAGCTGGCGGCCTTCTACAGGGACGCCGCCGTGGCCCTGGTCACTCCGCTGCGCGACGGCATGAACCTCGTCGCCAAGGAGTTCGTCGCCTGTCAGATCAACACCCCACCCGGTGTGCTGATCGTCTCGCCGTTCGCCGGCGCCGGCGAGATGATGCACGAGGCCCTCATATGCAACCCCTACGAGATCGACGACGCCGCCGAGGTCATACACAGGGCCCTGACCATGCCCGAGGACGAGCGTACCCTCCGAATGAACCACCTGCGCAGACGCGAACGAATCTACGACGTCAATCACTGGATGAAGTCCTTCCTGCAGGTCATGGGCTCGCTGGAGGAGCGCGACTCGGTCGGTGCCACGGTCATGCAGCCCGTCACTATGGACGACTTTGACGATTATTTGAGCAAGTAGGTGCAGTCGCCCTACCCTATACTGACTTGCCTGTTAAAGGAAGGAAAGAAAATATAACGCGACTGATTTTCTCCACCCACAGATACATCGGTGACAATCACAAATTAGCCTTACTGTTGGATTACGACGGAACCCTGGCGCCCATCGCCACGCATCCCGATCTCGCGATTCTGCCCCTCGAGACGAAGAACGTCCTCCAGAGGCTGTCCAATCTCCCGGACGTCTACATAGCCATCATCTCCGGCAGAAACGTCAACAACGTCAAGTCCATGGTAGGTATCGAGGGCATCACCTACGCCGGCAATCACGGCCTGGAGATTCTGCACCCGGACGGCAGCAAGTTCGTCCATCCGATGCCGGCCGTCTTCGAGAGCAAAGTCGCCAGCCTCATGCAGGCCCTGCAGGATCAGGTAAATTATACGCTTGCAAATAATATCGAGCGATCGAATCGTTATCTTATTTTTTTTTTTTTCCTTACCTTTTCCGCAGCTGTGCAAAGATGGAGCTTGGGTGGAGAACAAGGGTGCCCTCTTGACCTTCCATTATCGCGAGACGCCCATGGAGCGTAGACCACAGATGGTGGAGCAGGCCAAGAAGCTGATCGAGGAGACGGGCTTCAAGGCCTGCGCGGCCCATTGCGCCTTGGAGGCTAAGCCGCCCGTCGAGTGGAACAAGGGCCGAGCCTCCATTTACATTTTGCGCACGGCTTTCGGGCTCGACTGGAGCGAGAGGATTCGGATAATTTACGCCGGCGATGACAACACCGACGAGGACGCCATGAAGGTGAGCGAAGACGATTATTAGGCTCGTTATTATATAGTCCGCACGCGAAGAACGTTCATTAATCCATCTCCTTGTTCAGGCTCTCAAAGGTATGGCCGCGACATTCCGCGTGGCTTCGTCGCACATCATACGCACGTCGGCGGAGCGTCGCCTGCCGAGCACCGACTCGGTCCTCACGATGCTCAAGTGGGTCGAGAGGCACTTGAGCCGCCGCAAGCCGCGCAACCACCACGACAACTCCTCGAAATTTCGTCGGGCTCAATCCGGTATTACTATGGAAATGTCTTTCACCCAGACCACGTAACAGACATCGCACTCTCCCCGACTTTCATTGTCTTAGATAATGACATCCTTTTACTTTTTACCCCTCTTACTTTGTAATCCGTAGGCGACGTCAATGAATATCATGACTATCGTATTTGTTAAAGCAATTTTTTTTGTATTTATAAGAGAATGCCGAGAGCCGCATGTAATCGATTACCTTTTTCTGACACGATTCTCAAACGACACGTATCAGAAGTACGAGTGTTTGATTTTCATAAAAATCAAATGTCAATTACCTTTAGAAATAATTTTAATTTTAATGATTCATAGAGTCTGTTGTTAGCACAAAAACAAAAAAATAAACTAGCGTGATACCAAAAAAAAACATACGTATTTTATAATGATATTCTAAAATAAAAAAAATTTTCAACTTCAAAGCTATTTTCTAATGCCATATTTGCGACTCTAAAAATACATTTGTTTCTTTACATTAATGTTGACCTATGATAATTCATATACTAAACCCTTTCTTTTTTTCAAGAAAACAAAACAATACAAATTGAATACACATTATACCAGTTTGAAACTTTATATTCCAGTGTCTAGAACCAAGAAAAATTATATTTAAAGAAAAGTCATTGACATGCAAACGAAAACTATTTGTGGACGAACAAAAAAATCAAACTAAATAAGGAAAAAATTGATTTTCAATTGCATGAAAATGATTAGCGTTGAATTTTAAATAGCGTAGACTAATTTTATATTCTTTGAATTCAACTTAAACTCATTGCTTAAGTTATGCCAAAACTTTTATACAAATACCGTTTTATTGTTTTGCATAAACGGTTGTATTTCATTATAATAACACACATTTTTAGAGTTTATCTGTTATCTAAAAGCTAGAGTGACAAATTACTACGTGATGAGTATTTCCCGTACTTATAATGAATAGTACGATTAATGGGTACCTATTAGTAAATAAAATAGTTATTGAAAATATCACTGATGTACCTATTTACATGAAAATTTTATGTGACCATGTTTACGCAAAATGAAAAGAAAGTATGAAAATATTGAATTGGTGTCACGTGCTTGAAAGTAAAATAAAAAAAACAATTCTTTTTTTCGAAAGCAACATATATTTTGTACATAAAAATTGATAGATACAACAAGTAAGTATGGATTTAGCTGATCATTTGTTGATGTTTAATTACAATATATTGCTGTACTTTGAGTGAAAAATAAATGCATTTTTTATTCTTCAAAATGTTGGGTCTTTAAACATGTTATCCATATAGTAGGTTGTCATAATAAAAAAAAAATTATAAAACAAAATAAAAAGATGGAATTAATAAAAAAAAAACTAATGTTAATTTTAAAATAAAAAATGTTTTCGTTTTACAAGAAAACATTAAAAAATATTTTTTTGATATCAAATTATGAACAACAATTTGTATGCTAATGCAAATTATATTTATTTATACATTGACTATAATAATTTTTTAAAATATCACTTTTATATTCTAGAAGTCAATGTAATGATGTTGAAAAGTTAATGCTTAATGTTTAGGTATTTTTCTAAATCAAACATAAAGTTAACTAAAATGATCGCCTAAAATTCTTTCGTAAGTTCTAAGTGAGTTGAGTATAAGTTGACGATAGTGCGATGGTAAAACTATGATAAATGTCTCAACCTATACAATATGTAATTCTGAAAGATGTCTAAAATCTAATTATACATACATATTCAAAAACCAATCTAATACCCAAAATATATACCTTTTGTTATGCTCGTACCGATAAAAATAACAGTTTGATAAATTGGATTTCTAAATAAATTACCTAATAATAAAATGGTATAAATTTTGGAAGTGAAGAAAAAATTTGTTTTGAAAGTTTTATGAATAAAAGAGCGATTACAACAAATAAGTCAAGCATGCCTTGAAAACAAGCGAAAGATTTTAGCCAGGAGTTTTCGAGATGTATTTTAATAAATGTATTTCTATTTTTTAGTTTTTACATGATGGACTTTTCATTTATAGCCTGATAATTATAATATAATTATTTGAAGCACAAACAAAGTGTACTTACAACGTTTTTTTTAAACTAATTTATTCATATTCATTTTCGTTAAGTGGATTTTTGTCTAGCGTCAAGTTTCATTTTTAAAATATTTCGATATTTTCGTTATTTTCAGTTGAAATTTCGAACACAATGTTTCAATTTGATTATATTAATCTGGTTATATCATGGATAATAATGCGTCAGTACAAAATGAAAGTTTTACGAAAGTTATCTGGACATCATAAATACGAAAAAACGAAATGACATGCGCTTACTTATTTTACAAAAAAAAAATCGGATCTAGTCTGAAAAATAAATTATGCAAGACACACGTGATTGAACATTCGCGCGAATACGTATGTATATCCTTTTTTTGAACATGTTGCCGGGCAACTTTACACGCCCATCCGAAACCTTTCATTTTCTTCCTTTTTTTACTCGTACTCGTCACCTCGAACTTATGTTTCTCAGTGGTATACAATGAAATTATATAAATGTAATTTCAGCTATAGGACACATTTACAAAAACGAAGGTTGTTTTATCGGATTATTATGTTGCATTAAAACGATCGTGATATAAGCAATATTGATTTATGAAAGTTTGATGAAATAATCTTTTTTGTTCAAAAGCATAAAGGAGAACTTTTTTCACATAAAACGCAGTATTTTAAATCGGATATTTTGTAAAAATATTTTTTGCTGCGTACTTTTCTATAATCAATCTTAAAAATGTCTTATAGAAATAACTAGACATCGATTATAAATTTGAATTAAATTTTACCTCAAAAGTGTATAAATAATTTCTGAATATATCTAATAGGAACCCGATATTACTCTGCCTAATTAGGGCCAGCTTCTTTGACGGTACGGTGAAACTCGTTTAATTAAAGGATAATTTTCAAGTCACTTTTTACGCCAATGGTGGAATCAACTATACAAATATTTTGACATCCTCCCTGAAAAAAGACAGTTGTAGTATTTTTTTCTTCGCGTTTGTAACATTGATCAATGTCGCATTTGACGTAAATTACCCTAATATGTATATAATCAGGAAACCGCAAGAAGGCAAATTTGGGAAGAATTGTATTCTACGCTACTTTCACCCGAATAATGAAAGTTCGCCGGTACTTTTTGATCTCGTGTTATAATACAATACATAACATGGTACACAAAACATTATGTAACGGGTGCGTATGGACTCTTGGAGTATGACAATAAAGAATTGTCAATCTAGCGGCTAACCGAGTGATATCCGGTTTTATAAGAAAAGCTTCCGATAAAAAAGTTTTGAGTTAAATTATCTCAAGCTTTTCTATGAGAATTGTGACGACTGACGAGTTATAAAAACTATACAAAACTATACGAATTGTCTCAAGCTTGATTTCACACTTTGTAGCACATTTTTTAAAATTACGCCACGCGTTACAGATAAATCAATCCACATAAACTATTAAAAAGTATAATCTGCTAAACGATGTTAAGAGCGCACATAAAAAAGGTACCAGGGTTGCATATTTACCTTGAGTTCAAAGGAGTCGCTTATAATCGATCGAAAGAGAAGGTACAACACAGCTGGCCTGCTGGTATCGAGTCCGATGCTCACCGAAAGTCGCTGCACGCTGCGTTTTGAAGAGCGAACAATGCCATAATGAATTATCCCCAACGAGGCACACAGGATAGAGTAAAAAGCCTCGATCGCATGCACGCCCGAAGCCGCGCGTTAAGGCTCGCTCGCGCGACGAGAAGGGCCTTTTCCGATCGATTTGTACTTCAACTTCGGAGCTCATCAGCGGCAGCAGCAGCGATATGCTCGAAGGCAGACACGCGCGCGCGTATAATTGGACCAAGGTTGCAGCGAAAGCCCGCGGAGCCAGCCGGAGCACGTGTAGCCGCAGCGCAGCAGCTCTTTCCTGATCCGGCGATCCGGCCGCCACTCACACACACGATTCCGCGAAATGAAAGTCCTCGCGCGCGTACGATCGAGAAAAGAAAAAAAGCCAGTCCATTCTCTTCCTCCCCCTCTTTTGCATTGAATTACAAAAATTTCCTGCGCGCGAGAGATCGCTGGCGGTGCGGCTGCGACTCGGTCGCCAGGGCATTTGCCGATCGAATATAAGTTGTGCGCGGCCAAGGTATAAAAAGCTTGGAGCCGACGGCCGACCGGCACATTAACGTCTGAAAACTCGTGTCGAGCACATAACACATAACAATACATCGAGTCGAGGGCTCAGATAGAAAAAGGTTTCAAGCATGATCGCTCAAGTAAGTCAATGGAATTCAACTCGTTGCATTATAGCTTTCTTACAATATATTACAAAAGAAATAAATGAATTTTCAGCTGACGGTTTTGGCTGTCGCCGTGGCAGTGCTGATAAATCCCGGCCAGGCAGGAAACGCCCCGGCTGGTTACTCCAGCAACGTGTATCACGGCCAGCAGCAGTACAATCAGCCACAAGCTGGATCCGCGGGCCAGGCGGAGGCCACCTCGTACTCGCAGCAATCGATTTACTCGCCCCAGCAGTACGAGCAACAAGCTCAGCCTCAGCAGCAGCAATACAGAGTGGCACCGGAGTACGAGCAACGTCAGGAGCGACAGCAGCAATACATCCGTCAGTACTCCGCTCCGGAGTACCAGCAACAGGCGCAGCAATACTCCCAGGCTGCCGCCCAGTACCAGCAAGACCAGCAGCAAGCTCAGCAGTACTCTCAGGCTGCCGCGGCCCAGTACCAGCAGGAGCAGCAGCAACAACCGATTCAGCCGCAATACTCCGTTAACCCGGAATACCAGCAACAGCAATATTCGCAGGCTGCTGCAAGCCAATACCAACAGGATCCGCAACAACTGCAGCAATACACCAATCCGGATTACCAGCAACAGCTGAGACAACAGCAAGCCCAGCAGCAGTACTCGAATGCGCTGCAGTATCAGCAGCAGCAGCAGCAGGCCCAACAAGCCCAGCCACAAGAGTACTCGCAGGCTGCGGCAGGACAATACGCGAGGCAGCAGTTGGAGCAACAATCGGCTGCCCAGCAGCAATACGACGACCAGGCTCAGCTTCGACAGTCGGCGGCCCAGTACAGCGGACAGCAACAGCAGCAGCTCTCCAAGACGTCTTACTCGCCCGCCACTTCCGTGTCGCACGTATCGTTCAGTCAACCCGCCGCGGGCATCAAATACTCCTATTAATTGATTCATATAAAATATGAATCAATTCGACCGTCGCAAGCATGCGTGTGAACTATAACTTTTAAATAATACTGACTTGTACATAAATACACATTAATCATTTACTCTTCGTGTAAAAATCAAATCCTACCGATTGTATCGCGCGAGTTACCACTTGTGCAGTTCTTTAGAACGTGTGATCATCGATCAATTTGCCGATGTACCGAACGCAACGAGCACTGTACGTCGATTTTGCTTGTTACATGCTTTATCGCTGTCATAATATTACTCATGTTCATCTTTCGTAAATAAATTATAAAACTGAAATTTCCAGAGTTTGGATGATTAAGACACTTTATGGCACGCTAACCTAAAAATCGCAACTTCGCCGCTACTTTTAGGCTTTTGTACCATAAAATATTGTATGCAACTGATACGGATATGCTTTTCCAACGAAACTCGTTACAGCCCTCGCCTTCGGCTCGTGCTGCAACCCCTCGTTTCGCTGAAAAAGTATATCCGTACCCGTTGCATAAAGTACTATTACTCCATTACATTAACTTATATATAATCAACAAAATTCGTACTCTTTCATAGCAAAATAAATTGAAGTTCAACTATTTATTATTTAAAAATAATTTTTGCTCACAACATCACAGCAACATACAAAGTTTAACAACTTGAAATATAATGTATTACTTTTTTTAAATAAATTGCAATATAAATTTTTACTTTATTAAATTCGGGAAGACGACACGATTAGCGACCTCCACGCGTCAATATATCACACGATGGTTCTCGTCCAGCAAGATTAAAATTCATCAAACTGCAATTATATTTTTTTTAAATGACGTTTTTGAAACGAAAAAATGAATGATATACTTACATCTTCCGATTTTAGTTCTATATTAGCGTCAGAAAATACAACTTCTTCTTTCATTACATCAACTTGTTGTTGTTGTTGTCGAACCTCCGTTTCTTTATCTTCTATCTGACAAGGATTGTCACTTTTTTTTTCAATTTTACCACAATTTGGAAATACTGATTCCATGGAATCAACGATTTCTAAAAATTGATTCTTTAATGTCGTGGGAGGTTCCAAAATCTTTTTAATATAATCATCCACTAAAAATGCATCATCAGCATTTAAAGCTCGAGCTGCAACGGTATTCCAATGATATTGTTTATGAACATTTGGAAATATACCTTCTCTTAAATACGTTGGTTCTCTGAAAGATGAAAATATAAGTCAGCTGAAATTTATAATTACAGGTACATTTTAAAAAACCTACTGTTCAGTTATTGTCATCGAGTCAATAAATTGATCCATAGCTTTTATTTTTTCTGAGTTTGCTTCATTCTTTACATAATTTGGTTCAATTACTCTGGTATCATGCCCAAAAGGCAATTCTAAATGAACAAGGCACTAAAACACAAAAGAATAGATGCAATAAGAATCTTGAAAAAATATTTCAACAATTCAAGTGAAAGCAAATTACCCAAATAGAATCTGGTTGAATTTTTGGAAAAAGTACACCCATTCTTGGAGCGTTACCTTTTTCATGAACTTTACGTACAATTGCTACATAATTATTTTTAACCATTGCTGTTACAAAACTGTAAAATGCTTTTGCGTCATCCTGAGAGGAAAAACAATATTTTTAAAGCAGTTAGAAAATAATTTAAAGACATGAATAATGCTTACTTTAGTTTCTGGAACAATAATTCTTGTTCCAATTCCAGTCCAATATTCAAGTTTAATATCTTTTTGTGGTGCAAAACCATAAATTTTCATTCCCTTTTCAGTTCCTTTAAATACCATTTGCATTTCATCATCATCTGATAAAAGTTTAAAAAAATTAATGTCAATTGATAAATTGCAAAATTTAGTAAAAACTTCACATGCAGAAATCCGCACAATTATTTATATTAAAACATATGAAATTTTTACTTTTTAAGTATTAAGTTTTTAAAATCCAACCTGAGACTGGTATATATTTTTGACCAAACTTGTATGCGTTCACCAATTCATCAGATTCCACTTGATTCCTAGTTTTATCTGATGTTGTGACTTCTTTATGAAGATATTCTTTTTTTGGTTCTTCTGCAAAATTTTCTACTAATGCATGCATTTTCCATGTTTCTAATTTTTTGTATTCAGTTATCTGAAAGTATAGATTTATAAAATTTTTAACATAAAATTTTATGATATTGAAAAACATTTATTTACCTTTATATATGAAGCACAACTCATTACAATTTCATCCCATTCTAATGGAAACTTATACGTTGCTGGATGATTTTGTGTAGGTATAAAAAAGCGAAGATCCTCTTTCATAAAATTTATCTCTTTATATTGTACAGATGCATACTATAATGAAAATTAACTTCAATACATAATTAAGTTGTTGAAAATATTGCTCCATAAACTACCTGTGTTACTAAAGCTTTTGCCATTTTCTCACTCGCAGAGTTTTGGTCTTCACAATCATCATTATTATTTAGCGGATTTTCTCCTCTACAACAAAAAGTACATTTTTTTTTCCAATACATTAAATCTTTTTAGGTTCACCATATAAACTTACACCAATATGACATGTAGTTGTTCAAATTCAAGTAATCGCTTTTCTATTTCCTTGATGTTTGATTTGACATTTGATTCAATTGATTCATCATTCTCTTTGAAATTGTTAAATATAATAAGGATACATTTAGCGTCAGGATCACTGAAATGAATAAGCTATATTATATTCAAATTCAAATGCAAACATTATGAGCTTGCTTGAAAAAAAAAAAAAAAAAAACAAAACTACTTACGTCACTTTTCTTTTTATTAGATCTAAGCCAACAAATAAAGCATCAATCCAATTACAATCATATGGTTTACTTTTTAAGCTATCTACGTAATTTACCATTTCCCAGTCAGGAACACAAAAATGTTCTTGATACAATTTTACATTTGGAAGTTGTCCCGGGTTTTCAGTGACATCCTCACCCATTGTTATAATACCACATTCATCATTCGGCTCTAAAAAAATCTGTATTCACAAAATTTTGACATCATGTCATAAAAAAAATTGTTAGAAATAATATGAAGTTTTACTTTTTTTTGTATCAACATTTTCATTGCATATTTAGCTTTATCTAAAAAACTCTCATTATCTTCTGGAATTATTTCCGAGCTAGAGCGACCAACATTCGATACCAAAACGATGTAGCTCTGTAAAAACACAAAAATTGTTCCAAATATTATTTAAATTGATTAAGAGGAGGATAACTTTGAGACGTTACCTTTTGCTTTTTAGGCGGCATTTTGAACGGACACGTTTTATTTACGTTCTTTTTACGATATAAATAACAAACGTACGATGAGCCTGGTCTGCTGTGAAAATAAAATACAATATTAACAAAGAAAATCGCGCAGCGTTGTTCAAAACTCGACGATAAGCAGCTTGCGCCGCACGCGGCAGCACACTACTGCTCGTCCGCGTTGCCGACATGCATGCGCGGAATTCAGCCAACTTCCTAATTATTCACACCGTACGTATGTTTAGCCTCTAAAGTATATCTAAAATGACCTTGAGAAATACACTATCACTATTATATTTTAGAGGCACTTGTTAGATCGCTGATTTAATACAATCATTCTAGCGTGAATAATTTGGAAGTTGGCTGTTCTCGCCCACGGCGGTATAACGCGGTCGTTGAGCAGTAAATCCCCCAGTAGAAATTTGGCCAAGTTTTGACCTCAAGTTAAAGCGTAACATGAAAAATTATTACTCATCTCTACGTGTGCTAGAATGAAGTAACAGAACCCGAAAGGAAATCGTGGTGTATTTTTAAATTGGTCTTTAAAAACGACTTCACACACGATTTGTAGAACTACTTACAAACACCAATGAGTGAAGTAAACTGGTGGACACATGGTTTGACTTTTTGCAATATATCATGAAGGTAATTTTGAAAAATTAGAAAATATAAATTAAAAATGGCTCATTCATTGACATTTTGGTAATATGAAACAATAGCCACGTGGCGGGTTTAAATGAAGAGGGTCAAAATAATCGTATAAAAAATGAATTAAGATTTTGCTAGGAGCAATTCATGATTATATTCTCGACATCTCGAATGGGAGAAAGTCTACATAAGCTAGCACGATGATCGAATCAATCCTTCAAATATTCCTAGCAGGTTTCTCACTGGACGGCGTGACACTGCAAGTACCGATCTATACTCACATCCGACTCGTGTCGCGCGCAATGTACGAGCCCGTGCGTAGACGATCGAGTAACGTTTCTTTTTGTACATACGAAGAAATGGTCTTGTACTTCCGAAAAAAGTGTACGCGTGCGAAAGTTTTGATAAAAGCCAAAAGGGAATAATTGTGTTAGCCGCAAGAACAAGCTATTTATGAAAGTTTCTACGTTTCTTGCCTCCTTCTTCCATCTCGAAATTCGTAAATTCGGTGCGAATCAACGACTGCAAGTATAAAAGTCGCGAGCCCGAGTTACTCGAGAAGTAGTGGGCATCGTGTGGTTTTACCGATATCTAGTCCTCGGCCGTCCGATCGTCTATCATGTTCCTCAAGGTAAAATAATCATTAAAAAAATGTATGCGGGATAAATAGTGTTGAGTGTAAACTTTATCATTTGTGTGAATAGTCGAGCTTGTTGATTTGCTGCACTTTGGCTATTACGAGGGCCGAAGCCCGAATCGTCGTCGATAGCAGCGGTAGCAGCAGCTACGGTGCACCGGAAGTCGCACCGCCGATCAAGAGCAGCAGCTCCGACGCCACCGCCGCCGAGAAGTACCATCCAGGCCAGGTGATCGACGTCCTCTACACCGAACTGGATCCAGCCCAGCAACAGCAGCAGCTGCGCCTGCAGCAGTCCCAGCGTTCCCGCGATCAGCCTCAGCTGCTGGTGGCCCAGGCCAGTTACGCCGTGGCCCCGGCACCCGGTGATCGCGAGCCCAGTGAGCAGCAGCAGCAGCAGCAGCAGCAGCAGCAGCAGCAGCAGCAGCAGCAGCAGCCGTTCCTGCCCAGCAATTATGCCGTCGCGTCCAGTCCGCTGCAGCCGATCACTAACTACCCTCCTCCACGCGCCACTAATAATTATGCCTATGTTCAACGGACTCGCAGTACTCCTTATAGTTCTCATTACAGTCCCATAGGGATGGCAGGCCCTCGGCCCACTGGTCCACCACCACCACCAGCCAACTCGGAGCTTTACTACCAGCAGCGAGAGCAGCGAGTTCAATCGAGTGCCGCTGGGCCCCAGCAAGTTCTGTACTCTCAACTGCAAACCGACGCCTATTTCCCGGCAAACCAATGGTCTCCAACTGCTCCAGTCTTGTCTCACGCGAGCTTCAATTTGCCTTCGCGCGCTGTCTTCTCCCGTGCTCGATGCTTATCGTAGCGCCATTACCCGGTTTGATTATTAATTTGGTAAATAACTGTCTTTTTGTCATGTTGCAATTATCGCGAGCCTTATACTAATTCTTTCATTCAACTTTCATTCGGCATTCAAATTTCCAATCAAACTCCAATCAACTAAGAAGTCAACTAACTATTCATCTCTCTATTTGTTATTTAAGTAATTCATGTAATCACTCATGCAATTAACAGTTTTGTAAAACAGTTATTTTTAGAATAAACCGCAGCAATGCGATTATCGTGTATTATGCAGGTTAGATCGTAAAATAAAAAAATCAAAGATTGTAATCAAAATAACATTGTAATTAGAATAACATTGTAAAATATTGTATCAAATTAACGTACCCGGTCTCTTATGAACTTGAAGTTTTCTCATCGTTAAAAAAAACAGTGTAATTAGAGTTTATGCATGTGCCACTGCAACAAGATATAACTCAGTAAACATTAAAAATGATGCGAAAAATTACTTTCAAGTGACAACTTTGAACTAATGCAAATGCATACAAATAGCAGAATAAAGCGTGAAGCAGAATGAACTCTAGTGTTTAGCGCCCTCTAGATTATTTTGAAATTGTCTGTTGTGTTTATCGTGGACGCTGTCTGCAGGTGTTATCTCAAGCCGCAGCATATTTATTGTCAAATTTTTGTGTACAGGATTGTATGTTTTTATTGTTTGACAGCTGAAATCAAACTTAACATCTGTATACTTTTCCAATTATGGACTCAATTAGAGAGGCAAGTTAAATAAAATAATATTTCAACTCGTTTTATTCATCACGTAATTGTAAAGTACTGCAATCATCATACAATAAAGCATAATGTTTTGTTTAACATAAACTTTAATGTCAATATCCCTTTATAATCAGTTATTCTCAAGATTAGTTTTTACTATTTTATATCTATTTTTCTATCCTTTTATAATCTCTTTTAAAATTTAAATATAATTTACTTGCAGACGGACAGCATTCTTAGTAATATTTCCTCTATTCCTGCAGAATCTAATCACGAAGATTCAGATCAAATTATTAAGCATTTATTAGATGCAGTTTCTGATATTAATACTGAAAATTCTAGTCTTGGAAATGAAATTATTGAGTTACTCAGTGCGTTTAAGTTTGACATCAAGTCTATGTCTGCAGATTTAAAAGATAATTCACAGACAGCAAGTGCTATTTTGAAATCAGAAGGCCTATCTTCCATTGATAATAATGCATTGAAATTGTGTATGGAAAAGAGAAAAGTTCATGAGCAGATGAAAGCCAGGGAAGAAAGATTATTTAAAGCAAAATATAATGCAGCTTTTGCTAAATACAACACATTACAAGAGAAATTGAATAAAGTACAAGAAGAAGTGAAACAAATTGAAACTAATTTGCAGCTAAAAAGTTCTCAAGATGAAAATGCAGAATCAGTAAGAATTTTATGGTCTAATCGATTACTTGATTACAAAAATGCTATTGCAAAATTGGAAGAAGAATTAGAAGCAATACAGTTTCAAGACATTAGAATCGATGAAACTTTAAAAAAGTCTTCACTTCTATTGGATAAAGTTAATGATCTTGCTCAATTAAATAATGAGCTAGAAAAGTATGAAAATCTACCTACTAATTTGTTGCAGGCAAAATATGTTTTAGAAAATAAAAAACGTGAGTTGGAAGAAATTGAGAATTTGATACATGATAAAATGAACAATTAGAAAAACGTGTAAAAAGATTCAACCTTTAATTAAATAATACTGAATTATTCTTCATGGTATTAAGCTATAATAACCACTGTGTTCTGTAAAACAGTATAATTTAACAAGTTCTTTCATTTTACATAATGAAAATATATTTTTATACATAGTTTTTAAAATTAACTTAAAGTAATAAATATTTATAATACATTTACAAACGTCTTTCACTTTTGACCATTCTGTTATTAAATTTAGATTAAAAACCATATTTTGATCTACACTGTTGTCTGGCACTTTTATTGTGGGCCCATTGATTCTTAAGCTCTAATTCCATAGCTTTTGCTTGATGAGCCAAATATGTAATTTGATGTTTCTTCTTGGATGCACCTCCTGGACCAGAATTAGCAGATACAGGTCTAACTACTTGTTCCTCAGTAAGTGCTTTTACAAGCCATTCTCTTTCATCTGGTTTCATATCTTCTCCATTTATTTCTACTATATCAACATTGCTGAATTCTTTTTTTCTTTTAACTCCCCTTTTACCACATAAGTATTCAATAGCTTTATCATCAAAAGCTACGTTGCCTTCTTGATCAACATGATATTCTTGTTCAGGTATAGGTAGTTTGGGACCAAACTCTACTTTATTTTTCAAAATTATTTCTTCCCTTGGTAAATTCATAACGGTACTGGTTAACAGGTTACCAGGCTGTTCAGTGTGCTGAGTCCTAGCATTTTCTTCAATCAATTCATTGTGATTTGCAGTACTTATTCCAGCCATTTCATTGAGTTCTTCAGTACTAATTGGTTTTAAATGTTCATCAGGTATTTTTGAAGAAGAAGACAATGAAAAGAAATCCATCCCAGTTGAAGCGCTACTACTTGTACTTTCTTTTGTATGCATCTCATCTTTCTCATCTTTTTCTTCTACCTCTTCTTCTTCATTTTCAGAATCACTGTAATAACAAGCCAATGACGATAATGAAGAGGATGGTTGACTGACTACTACAGGAGCTTCTGGTTTCTTTTGAGTAAGAGGCACAGCTGATTTTGTCACTTGGCTAACAATTGGTTTAGTTGGAACAACTTTGACTTTATCTTTATTATCTGTAGATTTTTTTGTTAAAACATGTGGAACGAAAGAGTTCTTTTTCCCTAAATCCGCAGCACTTTTAGGTGGTGGCAAAAGATCTAGTAGTCCACATCTTGTCTGAAATCAATAGTTTAATTTATATGTAAATAATAGCTCTGATGCATTAATGCAACTCTAAGCTACGTTAACTAAAAAAAAAATTGTATATATTACCTTAGCTGGTTCTCTTTTCGTTTTTTTTTTGTTAAGTTCTTCTTCAAGGTCTGCAAACTGCAAAAAAAAAAAAAAATCAAAAAGTTACATGACGATGATACACTTTATATCATGCAATGAGAAAATAATTAATACTGAAATGGTACTCACATCTGATGGAGAAGGTATGTGTATTTTTACAGAGCTTTTTTCTTTCTTGGGTAGTTGCCCGTCCATTTTTCAATGTAAATTGAGAGAAACTTGGATGTTACAATTGTTTTTGTCGTTGTTGTTGCAGTTGAAGCTTTCAAAACAAGTTTTGTACTGACATTTAAGCCTTGACTAGGTTAATTTTCTGTGAAAGTCAAAGCATTTACGGAAACACTGTATGGGAACTCGAAATTGACATCAAACTGCTGCAATGCAGGCTGCTATACTTTACCCCTCTCCAGGTCCAAATGCTCCGATGTCGTCAGAGAAATAAGGTGCTTCTGCAATGCTGAGCGAATAGCCAGTGAGTCAAATGTCAATAACATACACGAAAAGCTCGAAATCTTACGACGCAGTAGCAACGCTAAACTCAAGCTGTCGCCATATGTCGCATTTCAAATCAACTCTAGGTTGATGTATCCACGCGTATCGTTGCTAAATGAAATAGCTCAATTTTCGATTATTGAAAGTAATGAATAAATGTTTACACCTATAACTGTATCTTTTGCTGTTGAATAAATAAAAAAATAATGTGACCATATAGTAAATTATCATAATGATTCAATAAGGTATTATATTAGTTTAAAACAGCTGTTACAACAGTCCGAAGAGTTATTGTATCAACGAGTGTCAAGTAACTTCCTCACATAGTCGCATTAAACGAGAATTTATTCCATGAATAAGTTTCATTTATTTACCACTAGTAAATATAATTACTACTATGAATAATATGCGCATAAAAGAGTTCAATATTGCTTCGTCAGATCACTGTAGTTTACCGTCGAGCGCATGCATAGTTAAAAAATGGCTTGGACACACGTTGATACATCCAACGGATGCTTCGAAAACTTATTCGTAAACACCTGTCAAGCGTCGTTTTTGACTCTTTTGGCGTTCATCACTCAGAATTTGAACAGTTCAAACGACGATCCTTTACGACAACGTCAGATAAATCACAGAGACTCGGACACTTACGACTTTATCGTGGTCGGAGCCGGAAGTGCCGGCTGTGTGTTGGCCAATCGTCTGAGTGAAATTAAGCAATGGAAGGTTCGCAAATTGTAAAATTGCATTTATCCAGTTCCTGTAACTGTCGAGAAATTTCTCACTTTTGCAGATTTTATTGCTCGAAGCCGGCGAGGAGGAGCCAAAGGTGGCCGAAGTTCCTGGCCTCATGTCCGTGTTGAGCAAGAGTAGCATCGATTACGACTATAAATTTCAGCCCGAGTCGTCGGAACTCTGCCAAAATCATCCGCCCGCCTGTACCGAGCCCAGGGGAAAAGTCATGGGCGGCACGAGTACCATCAATGGTCAGGCCTACGTCCGCGGCAGCAAGCACGACTACGACAATTGGGAGAAACTCGGCAATCCCGGCTGGGGCTGGAGCCAAGTTTTGCCCTACTTCAAGAAGTCGGAAAATTTGATGCAGGTATATTTTTTCCATTTTCAAGTCCTTAACGTTTGTGAATTATTCAATGGCGCGATTACTTCCATGACAGAAAATACCATCTGGAGATCCCGCCGATCACGGGACTGGTGGTTATTTGAGCGTCGAGTTCGCGGACGAGGATGAAAATATAAACAGCATCATCGATTCTTTGAAGGAGACGGGTTTCAAAGAGGTGGATTACAATTCCGGAAATCCATTGGGCGTGGCGAAGTTGCAGTACACCATGAAAAACGGAGCTCGTCAGAGTACCAATACGGCTTTCATTCGGCCGATTCGAGGACAGAGAGAGAATTTACACGTACTGACCGGAGCTCAAGCCACGCGAATCATCGTAGATCAGGACACGAAGAAAGCAACCGGCGTGGAATACGTCAAAGCTGGTGGTACCAAAGAAACGCTGAAAGTTTTCGCGAAGAAGGAGGTGATAATTTCGTGCGGGGCTATCGATTCCGCCAAACTTTTGATGTTGTCTGGCCTGGGTCCTGAACAAGAGTTGAGTAAACACGGGATAAAAGTTGTAAAGAATCTACCGGTCGGTAGAAACTTGCAAGAGCACGCGGGCACCACACCGATTGTATTGAGTCTTAAAAATAAGCCACCAACGGCTACTTCCTTTCAATTTGCCGATCTGAGAAAAGAAGATGTAAACGAATGGATAGCCAAAAACGCAGGTCCACTGAGACAACCAGGCTTATTGGGAGCGGTGTCTTTTCTTCGGACTCGATTTGAGAAGCATCCCGAAGTACCCGATGTACAGGTTCACTTCTTGGCGACCGTCGACGACAATCAGGTGTCTGGCGACGAGGAAAAACCAACTTATCAATCCTTCTCCAACTACAACCAGATAGCTATGTATCCTCTTCTGTTGAATCCTAAAAGCCGAGGATGGATAGAATTAAATCGAACAGATCCAACGTTTGGTAAGCCGCTGATTTATGCAAACATATTTACCGATGCTCGGGACGTTCAAACGTTAAAGGAAGGAATACGTCTGGCCACAAGACTTATTAAGACTCGATCGTTTAAAGAGAGCAATTTTACCTCTGATAAACCACCGTTTTTTGGTTGCAAGAGTATGATAGCCGACGATGAAAAATTCAACGAATGCCTGATAAAAAAATATCATATGCCCATTTGGCATCCTAGTGGAACCTGTAAGATGGGACCCAAGACAGATGCTAATGCGGTAGTTGATTCAAATCTCAAAGTTCATGGTATAAAAAGCTTAAGAGTCATAGATGCATCTATAATGCCATTAATTACGAGAGGAAACACTAATGCACCAACCATTATGATTGGCGAAAAAGGAGCAGACATGATAAAAAGTGATTATCGTTAGAGTCGATCCATTTTTAACTATTGGTTATCAATGCAGTCGTGAAGTATTTATCAGACTTAGTAAAGATTTAACATATTGATTTATTGTGAAATTCATATTTAGCATACTCGTAATATATATCGAGTAAATTTTTTAAATTTTGTCTGCGCAATAGCATTTATTTGAACATTTATTTGAAAATGATTATAGAAGATATTATAAAGCGTACAGTGTAGTTAAATTATACTTGAACTGATTGAATTTTAAAATAATATTAATGATGATAAAATATGAAAAAATAACTATCTAAATATTTGCAATTTTTGTTTTAATTAATGAGAAATATCCAATTAGCTAAATAGGCAAATTATCATTCAGGTATATTATAGTTGTGCATTCTTGTATGCACAATTGCATACTTTTTTAAAGGAATATTCTCTGCTAAAAATACTATTTTTTAGATACACGTGTGCTGCGATGAAATTCCGATCAAAGCACTCTCATTATATTGTCAAGTTTTCTTATGTTATTTTTAACTTTAATTTTTTGCAATCAAAGCTTGGAGTAGTTGATTTCTTATTTATCATTTGATGATATTGGTAAAGATTTTATTGGTAAGAGAGTGGTTTTTAATTGTAGTTCTTTGATTATTTATTTTTGAAAAAAGAAAATCAATCTGTTTAAAAGATTATTTTTAAGTTTATTAATTCTGAAATCATTTTAAATTAAAAAAAATATAAAAACATAATATTTAAACATAGATAAATTAGTATGTGTCGATGTATTCAATTTCATGGTTTAAAAAGAATGATCCATTACTTTTGCATACTATTACATATTATTTACATGTATTGTAAATTGTAAATCCTAAGTTAGTTTGACTAACTTATAATCTATTTTGTACGTCAGTGACCTCAACATTTGGTAAGTTATCGGCAGTCAAATCTTTCAGAGAATCTGCACAGTTATCGATTCTTTGAATATATTTACATTTGTCGTATAAGTTGCGTCGAAGTTAAATTCTTTACTCGATTTCTGCTAAAGATTTTGATATCACAGAGCTGACATGTCATTATAATTATCGTGAATATCTAGAATAATTATTATTCAATTTCCTTATATACGATATTTTTCTACTTTCACGTGTTATTGTGCAAGGGTAATTTCCTATTTTTTTTCAATTCATCTCGTATGAGCGAAGCCAATCGTTCCATTGCCTGCAAAAGATAAAAATCATTGATAATCACACATATGTTTTGGGAGGAAATCGTTTGTTAAAATCCATCATCGCGTTGAAACAGAAGCTTACCAAATTCATTTCTTTGTAGGAGGCTCGAGCGAAACTCGCCCTGATGGCGTTACAGGGCTGCGTCGCGTCGACCATGAAGGCGGCACCCGGAGCCACGAGGACTCCGTGAACGACTCCTCGGTGCATGATCATTTTCCACGTGTCCTTTATTTCAGGTACTCTGAGCCATAAAAATAAGCCGGCGCTAGGAACGTTGAATTCGACCAAGTCTCCCAAGTGTTCACGAGCCAATTGAACAATCGTGTCCCTTCGATCTTTGTAAAATTTACGTATTTTACGGTAATGATCCATCATTTTGTCGTAGCCCCAGCTTTTCAGTAGTTTGTACAAAATTACCTGTAAATGTAAGATCATTTTATTATTTCTATACAACTTGATTATGGAAATTACTCAAAAATATAATAATTTGCATTATTCAAAAGTTCGAAGATCGTTGAAATGTAATTATTTCAGCAAGATAACTAGTAATATCGATGCAGAATTTTGAGTTAAATTGCACGAAACTATTTTGCATTAAAAATTAAGCAAAGTCATTAAACGAGGCAAGCAAGTAGGCGTTCGAATAAGCTTCTTGAATTGAGTCTGCGCCGCACAAAGAAATTACTGCGACTAAATTAAGGCGCATTGAAAGGAATCAGGTATTAGCAGCGAGCGATTTGACTAACCTGCGAGAGAGTTGGAGCGTGCAAATGACTACTTTGCATGTGAAGCTCGAAACTCTGTATAAGCTGAGCCGGCGCCGTGATTATTCCTACTCTCAAGCCGCTGCTCAAAACCTTGGAGAACGAGTCGACCCTTATTACGCGACCCTCGGTGTCGAGCGACAAGAAAGATCGAGGCGCTTCCTGCGAAATTCACAAGCAGAGTTTAACTCGATTATTTTCCAAAGTTTCGGCTGGAAATAGTGCACGATCCTGTGGAAAATCCAGAGGCGCACTTACATCGGTAAAGTACAAGAAGTGGTAGGGATCGTCGTCGAGAATGAGAAAGTTGTACTCGCAGGCGATCTTGTAAATGTCGAGGCGCCTCTCGAGGCTCATGACGGTGCCCGTCGGATTGTTGCCGGTCGGATTTATGTACATGAGCTTGGGCATCGGCAGGCCCGCTGCCACCCTCTCCTCGAGTCTCTGGCGCAGATTTATCGCGCTCATGCCCTCCTCGTCCTCGTCGATGAGGATGAATTCCGGCTCGTGCGGTGCGATCTGCGCGAAAATTCGGTAAAAATTAGCTCCACTAGACAATGCGATGTTTAAATAGTACGTCGGAATAGCTTACCACCACGGTGACGCCTGGATAGAGAGGATTTTGCGTTATTATCGGTTCTCCGGGCCCGACTATAGCTTCGAGGACTTTGCTGCATCCGTCTTGGCCGCCTGCGACCACGATCATCTCGCGATTTTCCCAATTCGGTGGCATGTGAGCTTTTCTTTGGAATTCTCGGAAAGCCTACGAATACACAGATATTCCATTTAGTCTTTTTCTATTATTTTAAACCTCGATTTACGGACATTCAAACGTCATGAAAAATTTACCTGTAGGAGCGGGGGATATCCTTGGCTTGGTATGTACTGAAGGGCAGCACCCAGTTCTTCACCCTCGAGCACGAAATCGGTTCCGTCGTTGAGTTTAATCGTCATCTCGGTGAATGGAAACATTTCTTCGTTTGGCATACCTTCGGCCAGAGAGATGACGCTATTGGAAGCCGAATAGGCCATTTTTGCTGTGAAAAACGGGCTCACGATCAATTTTTGATTCTACGATCATCCCACGAGTATAAACACAAGTTTGCACGTTTCAAAATCACAATGAGCTCAGCAATATCAACTTTATTATACTTCGATGACGAGTAAAAAAATAACTCAAAATGGATCGGCAATTCAGAATATGATAAAAACTTACTCAGTTCCCTCGTTGCAGCCGTGCGCCTTCGTTTAGATAGATGGGTTCTAAATTGCGTGTAGTCAATCTTGAACATGTCTTTTCTGCCGAACTTATGCATCTTGGTATATAATTCAAAAACCAATGAACAAATTACAACGAAATAAAGAATTAGTCAAAGTCCTTCTTTTCGATCTGCTACGCTTCGAATCACTGAAGTGTCGTTGAAATTATATTTTATATAATCTTCACAGCGCAGTGTTTGGACAAGAAATTATGATCGAATGTTAATTTGAGTCAGTCAAAGTGTAAATATACGGTCTCTTGTGGAGCACGAGCAGAACTGTGTACTAAAGAATGTTTGAATACATACTAAGATAGCGGGAGGCTCGCGCGGGCTTTTATATTTAACCGATACGATAGTTAAATTGCGTCAGATAGTATAATATGTATCCCTAATCGTATCACGAAATTTTTGACTCGTGTGTTGCGTTCTCTTCAATGTCCGTTCAATTCTTTTTTTTTTTTTTTAAGATGATCTATAAAGCTTTCCGGATTCTCAGATTTAATTTTCTCGATAGTACATACATTCGTCTATTTAATAATTTTGACTAATTCAGTCAGTGGCGCAATTTTATTTAGTGCTACAAAAGTTTTAGCCTCTTCAAATAAAATGATATCGATTATGTTAAATACATTTATTGAATACTCTATTAACATACATGTAAAGGATCGATGCTATTTAGTCTAAATTTACGTTTGAGTTCAAATTCGAAAATTATTATTTATGCTGTGATAGCTGTGTCCGTTTGACATCACTTGTACACACATAGGTCCTGAACGATGGTAAACAATTATTACTTATACACTCTAGTAAAATAACAATAATAGCCACCATAACATTCACATATAACGTAAACTATACAAATAATTTTAAAAGTTATAGAAATTTCACACGAATAATTTTTATTTCTAATAAAACAAAATTTTTGTTTTCCGATAAATTAATACTTACTAATGAAGAAAATTTGACTTCAATTTAATTACTCACCTACTGGTGGAATTTATAAAAAGTTTTAAACTAAATTTTTTACAAAGAGATGGTCCACCCAGGTGTTACAGTTTTTTTAAATGATCCTAATTTTCAGATTGTTTGGTCATGAAAACGCACGACTCGCTAAGGTCAAGGCAACTTAAGGTCGCTTACGTTATTTCTCTGCTGATGCAAACTCGCATCATCGTTTCGTCGTTCATGTTCTAATTTTTCGTTGCCGCTGTAAAAAACACTGCATAATTTTATGACATTAAGCATTCGTCAATAAACAGGAGAAAAATTGAGTTTTCACAAACGACTGACGAAAGATCCTCTCTTGAGCACGCGAGATTTTTGTAATCACGTGCTTACATTTGCTTAGTCCGACGAATGATATCAAGAAGTCTGATGCAACTGGGAAAAAATTATTTCATGTACTACCAAATTACAAAACTCTGAATCTCGAAGTTGCATTGAAGTATGATATAATGAATTACAAAATATTGAAAAATATTTATTGTTTTGTAAATGAGATGGAATCGTACAGTTTTCATCTCTGTACTCTGAATGATAAGGTAAAAACTCATACTGAATTGTTCTACCGGATAAATTAACTGGGTCAATGATCGAAATGAGAAAAAATTTCTTTATATTTTTATCGAGTTCAAAAATAAGTTCTAACTTAAAAGGGTTTCGTATTATAATATTAAAACATATAATCGAGGTATTATCGCTGAGTACCTTGACATATGATGCTCTATTTAAGAAAATTGAAAACTTACAATATTCATGTTTGATTTTTGTTGTCAAATCATCTTTGTTATTAAATCAATCTTTTTTATTATTCATAAATTCTTTCATTATTACTATTGTTATCATAGCAAGTTACGCACGGCCAGTTTATGCAACACTATGTTATGCACTTTTCACGTATCAAAGTGTAGACTGCATCAAAGAATAAGAAACGCAAAGATGGGCATGATTTACTTCCCCCGGTATCCTTATCCAGAGCGAGTGAATTCAACATTTAATTTGTTGTCGCAAACTATTTCCACGTAAATCAATTAGGACTGATCAGCCTCCGGTAAAATTAAAAATTTTCGAAATTATTCGATTTTAAGAATTACATTTACCACTTAATTGCTATGACTCCCAACTTGATGGCTTTTATATATTTCATGATAGTCAATGCGAACGAATTTACATCGATTCTGCAGATTGTTTCTCGGCAGTAATAAAAATGGAAATCAATCCCTCGAGAGATGGAGAAAAATTTCAATTGGATTATTAAAATTAAATGCCATTAAGTGGTCAAAAACTCATTTACTTCGATGTTTTTTTTTCAACATTCAAAAAGTGTAAAAAGTGACAGGACTGGACGAAAGATTTTTTTGTGCAAAGTGATAGGCCGCGCGAATTTTTGTGACAATTATGTCGGTGGCCGAGTAGTAGTCTTAAGAGCGATTGCGTCAAGTGTAAATATTGATAGAGATATTTTTCAACAAAATAAACGGAATCGCGAGTGAAATAAAATGCAGATAATCGAAATCTGAAAGAAGTAACGATTCTTCGCGGACTCGCACGTATGCATACAAGCGGAAACGTCGTTGGTGTGACGTGCGCATGTTGTGAGTATTTTCCATGGGTAGGGTACAGTACACCGAATTACATTAGATGTTTGAGCAGTGTGGCGCAAGTTCCGGAATGATCGGCGCTGCAGAAGAATCTCTGGTACTCGCGTCGACGCGTCGTGCAACAACATCGACTCTCGGCAGAAAAACAAATCCAAAGAACAGCGATAATAATAGGAAAGTCAATTGCGATACGTCGTCGGGTGTACATGCGCGTACATAATACAAATGTTTGCAGCGATTGACCGACGATGCTGCTAATGATGCCGATGATGATTACGCGCACGCCCCGTCCTACCCTCGCGCTTCACGTATTTACGGCATCGTATGTTTTCATTGTCATATCTCTTTACTCGACTGCAGTTCGTATACACACACAGACACAGATGCAGCTCTTACGATGCTCGGCTCGGTTCGGCTCGAGGAGCAAATGACGTCAGCGTGATAGCGGCGCAGAGGCGTGTGTTTGTCCACCAGCACGAGCTTACATACTTCGTTTTTCAAGAACTCGACATTTGTTTTTAGATTCGCTCGGCTCATGAATAACAATGTGCAAGTCTAATCGGTCACTCGCGAGGCTCGTATTTTACGATATAATATTGCATCTTTTTTTTCGGGGCGTTCAATTTTAAGCATCGATTCCACTCAGCCGATGATGGCTGTGGCGGTTATCTGCGCTGCATAAATCAACTTGTTCACACAATCTGCGAGCATCTCGGAGTTTATATATTATGTACCACCACCCGATTGGTGCACATTTTTTTCCATGCAATATTTACATTGGCATGTACGCGATGATAAAATATTTTATTTGACAAAGGCGATTGTGTATGCGTATACGTGAATCTCGAGAAATGCATTGACGCGCGAGCGAGCGGCTTTATTTTTCTCGTAACCCGCCGCTGCTTACAACACCGACAACTATGTGTGTTTTCGATGCATCCATCAAATTCGCACTATAATCGACGAGTTTTCTTTTTTATCGCTTTCGTCGAATATTCGAATGGAAAATTCGCGTACTGTATCAATCGTATAATGTATAGTTGCCAATTTTTGTCGATTATTAATGGCTTTATTTAATCGTATAATGGGAATAATTGTACGAACGAACTCAGGCGAATTAATATCCACATTTTGCTGATATTTTTTTTTATCGTCGATTATCTATGTACTGAATGTCAGTCACGAACGTATATATAATTCTCATGAAATTAGCGCACGTAAACGATAACAGAGATATTGCGAAGGGTTATTAATTGAAGATCAATAAATAATAATATGTGGGGAACGTGAAAAAGTATTCGCCGAAAAATTAATAATCGCGAGTAAAAAATGTACTCGATACGAGAAAAATAAAGACTGATTATTTTTCCTTTTCAGCATTCGTATACGTGTGTGAATCAGGCGTTGAATTTTAATGAAAATATAGCATCCGGAATTTCACGATTCGATCGCGAGTCTTTGGAAAGGCGTGTGCGCGCAGATACGTATAGTTGTCGAACGTCTTTCGAAAAAGCTAGTGCGAAGTCAATCGAATTAATTATCCTCGCAGACACGAAGTAATGAGTCGACGACTCGAGCCAAGGCGCAGCAATCACGAAAAAAAGTTCAACAGCAGTAGCAGAAGCAGCAGAAGTAGAAAAAGCTATCGAGTTGGTCCATAAACAAGGCAAATTAAAAGGCAAGAAGCGTCCGCCTCTCGCACCTTCGGAGCATGCCGACTACTCGTACGTGGGTGGGTGGGGGAGAGGCCGAAGATACCGGAAGGGCAAAAACTGGCCAACCCTCCTCTTCCTCCTCCTTTTCCCATCAACGTGTATACACCTTCTCCTTCAGGACTCGAGCTTCTCAAAGCCCTCTCGTATAGTTAGACTAAAGCAGCCGCCGCCTCTGCTGCAGAGACGGAGAAACGCGACTTAACGAACGGAGAAGTTCATTAAAAGCGAAAACGACGTTAGCCGGAGCTAAAATTACCTTCCGATTTCAGATGCGCGTACTTCTCTCTCTCTCTCTCTCTCTCTCGCCGTGTCTTCTTTGACTTTGCAGGCGCATGGTGGTATTGCGCGAGTTTGTCTAAGACTATCGAAAGTCCCGCGCACACTTTTTTTTTCATTCAATGCTCAAGTTAACTTGACTTGACGCGCGAGTTAACTTTTAAATTAATTACCACTCGCCGATGCAACCGTTTTTTCCTCTCTTTCTTTCTCTCTCTCGTTGCTGCGCGACAATTTCTGATTAATTTATGCAAGCGTGTTCCAAAGGGCAATGTCACAGCGCGTCTTGGAAATTGTAACAAAAAATTACACTGACTCGGTCAAAATTAACTGATTAAACAGTATATATAAAAAATTCGACGCTTATAGATTTGCAATCTCAGCGAATTTACACGCATATAATTTAACAAAGCTATTAGCTTGCTGAAAAACAAGTTCGTTTAAGGACATTTTTATATTGTAATAACGATGGATCATTGATTGTACAATTATGGGGTGGCTTATTAGAGCATCACAAATAAATTACAGTGTAAAAATTACTGGTAAATTTCAAGTACTTTTAATAAACTTTTATCTTACATTTACTTTGAAATTACAAAAGGTACTCTCAAAAACCATAATCATTTCTATGTGAAAAAAGCCCCAAAATAATGGAATAGTACTAATATTATAAATTAAAATAAATATACTTTATATTTGCATACTTGACCAATAAATGTGAGTTTTGAAGTCAAGACTTGAAAAAACTTTTGTTATTTTATGAGATTTAATTTCGATAATCACATTCAAAGTAACGCATTATAAAAAATATTTTGAAAATACAAAACTTTAATTAATGTTGAACTATGAAGTCAAGTGCGCGATAAATTCCATGCATTTCGCCTCTGTTTTAGGTTTGCAGTAGTTCACAAGTTACCGCGTATGGCCGAATGTACGGAAACCAAAAGAGAAAAAGCAACGTTTGAGCATTCAGTAAAAACAAGCAAACAAACGCAGCGTAATTTCTGTGCTTTTCGAACCACGAATGCGTGGCGAAGAATAAAT